AGCACATTATCATGTAACAGAGGCATCAAACAATCCGCCGCGAATACGGTGGTTAAAATTGGAGATGAGCCCACGGCAAAGAAGAATGCATGCTTGTAAAGCTCTGATATGGTGGCGAGAGGACTCCTGCCTATAGCCCAACCAACCTTTTGGTAGCTTTGTATCATTTGAAACTCTGCCTTTGGCACAGATGTCGAATTGCAAGAAGTTCCCTTTTGCTTGCAGGCAGTACATGGCATTAAGCCATCACACTAGATGACACGATTAGTATATTTTATGTAGCTAAAAGTAGGCGATTCATACCTTGATGTGATCTCTTCGACAGCGTTGGCACCGGTAGCCGAGGAGGCGTCTGTCCCTAGGCCCGCACGGCATCTTGCCACAGTCTTTGTGTTACACGTAGGAAAAGGACTTTTGCCAGGAAGGTTTCATCTATGCGTCAATAGGTGGTTGCCTAGTCACAATTCTTTGATTATCCACACGGGGCGGGTTCTTGTCGACCGATGTACGAAAGAATGTGTTTCACGGACAAGGTGCACAAGTGAGAAGATCAGCACCGCACTTGAATCCACTTTCGCAAGGATATTGCCTAATATCGCCTAGCGCCAAAAATATTAATAGTGAAACATGAATCAGATGCTTTCCGAACTTTAACTTTCTCATTGGTTTATATTGCGGGGCAGAATTTTAGATCCACTTTCACTTTACAAGTATTATGTTGAAAGTGTAGTATGCAGTCTTTTTGCCTCTATGATAGAAAGCTGGTATACGAATAATGTATGGTATAGACGACCGATGTTGTTAACTCTAACTATCTAAAATGACAAACCCCCTTTTTTCAACAATCTATGCAGACCTCGATGACAAGCTGTAATATACACTTTTGTATAGTATTTTCTAGGTAAAATACCCTATTCCTACTATGTACTCAACTTCAATAAACTAGTTAACTAGTTAACTAACGTGTTTCACATGCGAGCTAGCCACACATGCGAGCTAGCCACCCTGAAACACCATACTAAATGCGATATATTCTACACTGATATCTTAACAACCACGTTTTATTTCATCTTATTGTTTGTCGATAGCTGTTGATAAGGCTTTTCAACGCTATATATCAATTTTAAAGAAATCTAAAACCCGTATTGTTATGGTATCGAAAACTACGTTGCGGGGAACTGGAAATAATATATCTCAATGGTTGGTCGCATCATTATAACTTATAACGTATGCAGGTAATTATGAAGTATATAGGTATAGAAATAAAAGAGAAATTAGAATTGGAATTACCGGTATACAGATACAGGCTTCGATGGGGCGGTGAAAAAAGCGGTGGGCATTATAGAGTTAACTTCGGATGGCATACTTTACCCGTAAACAATGCCACTAGTGGGATCCACTTTCGCAGCATCGATTCCGAATATCACGCCAAGACATTAATTAGCTTCCACTCGCAAAGATTACTATAACCGCGTATTTATTATGGCTGAGCAATTACAATATAGGAGGAATTATGATATAACTTGCAAGTCGAATAGCATATTCTTATTGTGTTTTACTATCATAGTTAAGTAACCTCTTAGATCTCTATAAAGAGGGAATTGTAGGAGTCCTTACGCCCTGCATTCGTTTTCTTTCAAGAAGCTCACAACCTCCTTAAGCAAAGGTATCGGCCTTTCTCTACAATATGGCTTTCAAATTCTATACTCTGTTGTTGGCTTTGATACCCTCCATCCAGGCCATACAAGTCGCAAACTTCAATGTTTCTGAAAATATTGCTAGCAAATACGGTTGTGACTCAACCTGCTACAGTAATTTTCAGGAAGGTATAGCTGTTGATAGCGCTTCCTACGGCGCAATATATGACGCGGGTTTCTATGAGACCGCCCGTAACTTTTCCAACTCGAAGCCCGGCGATGCTCTCAAGTTAGAGTCAGTCAATGCCACTCTCCTCCATGATATCCCGAAGGGAGTTACTGCCTACAGGTTCCAATATGTATCACAGGATCTCTATGGCAGAAAGGTTCCAGTTACCGGTTTCATTGCGTTTCCTTATGCCAGCAGGTCAAACGGCCTTGTGTACCCTACTATCGCCTATGGTCACGGAACATCCGGAGTGTTTCGAGGCTGTGCACCTTCGGCTATGCCAAGCTTCTATGAGTATGGCAGCTGGGCCTTCTTGGTCTCACGTGGATATGCAGTCATCGCCACAGACTATGCCGGCCTCGGGAACAACTATACCGCCCATCAATACCAAGCTTCACCGGCACAGGCTCATGACTTGTATTACTCTGTTGCTGCAGCTCGAAAGCTATTTGGTCACGCACTCACGCCCGAATGGATGAGTGTCGGCCATTCCGAAGGAGGTGGTGCAGCTTGGGCACTTGCGGAGAGCTCTCTGCTGCAGAAAAACCCCCTCTCGCTCGGAAAGTACCTTGGTACAGTTGCTCAGGCACCTGGAGTTCAAATGCAAGACATGGCACTTGCTGCTATGAAGGGCTCATCTTCATCCGGTGTTGATTCAGCTCGTGGTGTTCTTGTGGAAGCTGGATGGCTCGCTCTCGGCTTGCGAAGCACTCTCCCTAAAGACCCCCAGACTTGGCTACAGCCTAATTTTCGGAAGCGTCTTGAGCTTGCGACACTCACTCAGGCATGCTACGCGTCAATGAGATCGTTAGTTGCGGACCTTGATATTACCAATGTGGTCAACATCTCAGATCCAAGCCTTCACTTTGCCTTGGAGAAAATGCAGAACATCACCACTAAGGGCGAAGGCAAAAGTCCCCAGCCTGTCTTTATTGTACAGGGGCTTTCGGACGTTTCGGTGCTTCCGCAAGTGGTTGAGGCCGCATATAATGCTAGCTGTCAATCTGGAAATGAGATCTACCTACAAACATATCGCGGCATTGACCATGACCCAGTGATTTCTGCTTCCGCACCCAGTTTCCTTCAGTGGATTGACGATCGTTTCGATGGTGTCAAGACAACCGGCAGATGCAGTAACAAGACGATCCAACCATTTGACCCTATCAATATGTATGCTCCGAGCGACGCCGTTAACTAGAGTACTGCCTGTGCGCCAGGTATCTGTTACCAATCTTAGGATTTTAACTGTGTTGGAATGGGTGCATGTTTAGGCAGTGAGGTTGATATTGCTGCCTGGTGGTTCAGGTCAATAGCTCAGGATGTTGTTTTCTAGCTAGTTAGTTAGCTAGTCAGATCTGAGGGCTTTTGCTTCCTTCAAATCAAGAACTCTCTCCTGCTATCTGCCTTCCCCCTATTGGGTTTCAACTGAGAGTAACAATGTTCACAAAGAATCCTATTTTATTAGTGTAAAGATCTGCGTAGAGTAACTTAGCCTAAATGCTTATTCTCAGATGTTTCACCACTTTCCGATAGGTACGTTCAATACAAAGGTTAGTCGTCTAACATGGAAGAATGGAAGGACACTGAACGTATTTCACTACCGAGCTGCTTCAGGGAGTTCTAAGGAATGTGATGATCTAATAGACCAATATATATTTTTTGGATCCTACTGGCGTAATTTTCAATACGGCAACGATAAAAGCTTTCAATTTCGCTAAAATTACTATATTGTACTGAAAATTCTTATCAATGCCTATCTACCTATAGCGAAAATTAAATTAAGTTGTGGTGGTTGAAACATAAGGCTATAATTTGTCGCATTTACTATGTGTTTTGAAGATAGCGGCTCGGTGGTGGTGGCTAAATGCGTTATCTAAGACTTGGCTTACGTCAAAGAGGCGAGAAGATCGAGGTCAGTCTTTTTATAAAAGAAGGGTAAATGGCCCTTTCGTGTGGAGACAACCGAGATCAGCCTTACATGAAGGGTTTCCAATAAACCCGCTTGTACTTGCCTAGTTCAGCACTGCATACGTTTAGACTATGATTTTGCCTAATACATCTTCAAGTCCACGTATCCTATTCCGGTGAATTAGCCTAAATACACCCTCAAGTTCACGTATCCTGTTCCGGTGAGATCTTCAAGTGGACTCATACTTTGTATACGAGGTCTCCACAACGAGAAATTCGCGCAGAGATACTAATACCATTGAGCAGAGAATGGTTGAAAATTAATGTCTCATGGTGAAACAGCCCTAAATTATTACATCGCTTCAAAAAGAAGTCAGATCATCATCAAGGCCTATCGTGGCCTGGATGCCCTTCCCGTTGGCTGACTAGGCTGTCCTTTTGGCGCACAACTGCCGTCCTGTCCCGCAACACGTTGTCTAGTGCAACCTTTCACCTTCCCTCAAGCCTCCTAACAGACCTGGCCCGTTATCGAATGCGTTGCTGCCTAGTGCTATGGAAACAGGCAGTTCGAGATAGTTCAGGTCGATGGGAAATATTGAATGAAACGCATCAATGGAAGAATTCTTCTTCCCTTTTCACATATACCTTCCCTACTCCTCTACTAATATAAGATGTAGCGTAAAAAGAACGTTTCCTGTACATAACAGTATTGCATATATTTATTAAAGATGAAAAAAAAGATTTAGAGGTCTAATGTCCTCTTTTCTCAGAATCCGTTTTAAGACGACTCCACTCAGCTCCAATTAGGGTGTCCAAGTCACTGTGGTCACCAATTGACCATCCTTGATAGACCATCCTTGCACCTAAGTTAACTTGGTTAGACTACTAGGGGAAATGTTTCATTAATTTGGATGGGTTTAATCTTCTGATTCTGTCACTAAGTAGTCCTCTAGAACTACTATAATGGGCCTAGATGATCGTCATTTAATAAGGTATAAGGACCCTGGAAATGCGGGTCCGCTACAGATGCTTGAAATTAACGCGAGGAAATCCTTTAATACTACTTTAGATTGAAGCAAGACATTTTCAATTTGTAATGCTGAAGAAAAGCATACCTTGCCGTCCATAAATATTATAAAAGAGTCACTTTTCCCATTGAGAATCTCTTTTCCAAACACAGTCTTTCGCTCAGTCATTCCTTCAATTCACCAAGTCATTCCTTCAAGATGTTCTCTTTCTCTACTCTTATGTTGGCAGCTTGCGCTTGCGTCAGCACCTTCGCAGCTCCTACTGATTCTTACCTGGCTGAGCGGGCTCTCACCACAAGTCAGACCGGAGAAAACAACGGCTACCACTACTCCTTCTGGACCAACGGCGGTGGCCAAGTCCAGTACAACAACGGAAAGAACGGTGAATACGATGTGTCTTGGAAAGACTGCGGTGATTTCACCTCTGGCAAGGGCTGGAGCACCGGTACTAACCGGTAAGATCAATTCACCTAACAACCTACTTGTGATTTATTAACGTTCAATTAGCGACATCCACTTTGCTGGCAATTTCAACCCCTCTGGAAATGCCTATCTTGCCGTGTATGGCTGGACTAAGGGTCCTCTCGTCGAATACTACGTCTTGGAGAACTACGGCGAATACAACCCCGGCTCAAGCATGACCCACAAGGGATCTTTCTCTAGCGATGGATCGGTCTATGACATCTACACCCACCAGCAGGTTAACCAGCCCTCTATTGAAGGTACGACAACCTTCATGCAGTACTGGTCAATCCGCCGCAACAAGCGCTCTGCTGGAACCGTTACCACTGCCAACCACTTCAATGCTTGGGCTTCGCATGGAATGAACCTTGGCCAGCACGACTACCAGATTCTTTCTGTCGAGGGATTCGCAAGCAGTGGTTCTGCTCGCATGTCTGTTTGGTAAATGCCAGACGGAGGGACAAGGAGACTTCGGTCTGACAGCCTTGAGTGGGCCTTTCGAAACTGTGTCGGGGGAGGGGGTGCTTTTGGTTGAGCTTTTGGTGGGACACATGCTCTTCAGGCTTTGAGCTTTGGTCACTTTTTGATAACTCACGGGTGTTCATTAGCAGGGCTTTTGAACACTATTTTGAAACTATGGGGCTGGCATCCTGGACTAAATCATGACAAACCTTCCATTTGGTCCGTGCTGGAGTTTATATAGGCCGCTTCTTAACTCGCAATATAACTCCAAATATATTCTTGCATGCCTATCTCCATTCATTTAGCTCGACTGCAAAATCAGTCCGGGTATAGAGAAATTGAAGGTGCATCGCAGCAGTAGCGGATACACAATGACCGAGTCCTATAGGCCAAGGAAGGACTTCCATTGCGAGTATCAACACACGGCCAGCAGATTAGAGATATTGAGCTGCTCACATTTAGAATAGCTGTTAAAATAGGAATGACAACGGAGTGGACCCTAGTAATGATCAAGTGGGTCTCGAAAATCCGAGTAGATGTAAGAGAATGGGGTTTTCCATCCCCTTGGATGAAAGGAAAAACTGACTACAGAAATAGGAATAATGTTATAGGAAATTGAATGAAAGAAAGAAGAACAAATTTGAATACCGATGGATGGGTAGATAGTAAAGGAACAAAGCTATCACACCAGGGAGCGAGATAGCACAATAACCACAATCATGAAGCCGTAGCGAGAATGACCAGGTTGTCGGTTATCAAGGATGTTGCAGTTGTGAAGTGCCGAAGGGTATTTGTTCAGGCACTCAGACGCCTAGTTGTAAGATGTAACCTGCCCGGTTTGTGCTGTGTGTCAAAAATCCCCAGGCAACTGTGGACATGAAGTTGTTCGCGTGGTCATGCGAGGCATATGGTTTGGAAGGAAGACTCAGTTCGGTGTGTCAGGGGGTAGGTATTTGAGAAATTGAAAGACGGGTGAGGTTGTCTTTCTCGAGTTAGTCGCGTAGTTTTCCGTGGGGTTTCAATGCCTGAGAGCCATTTGCCCATTTCATCCGCACGCAGATGCAAGAGAAGATGGGCAGTCTGAAATGAAATGGGAGGTCTTTCGAACTCGGATATGAATCAATCGCAGTCAAGAGAGGCATTTGCGGCAAATGGGGGAGTTACTCTCTGTCAAGATGTTGGTGCCGATCTCGAAGTTCCAAGGTCCCTTCCCATTTTTCTGTGGTGATTCACAAGTTGGGTGTGACAATCCATGTAACGGAGAATTGAAGACTCGGGGAGGATACAGAAATGAGGATATTATCGAAGCTATAAAGGTGTAATGTGGCTGGGCGAGTAGGTGCAGGCGAGAAGCTATGGGGTGACTCTCTATGAAAACGTTGGTGTCAGACTTACAGCGACCAAGAAAGAGAAGAGACACGGTGAGGTATTGACAAGTTGTTCCTAGCCAGTTAGAGATTGATGGATGGTATAGATGGTTTGGGGATAGAACTTGAGAGTTCCCCTTCTATTGTTGATCAAACGAGTCATCCAAAAGCAGAGAAATGTATGTAATATCAACATCGAAAAAAAAGGGGACCCCCAAACCCACAAACAGCCTCCGTTGGGACCGCAACACCCCCTTCGGACTTAGTCCCGGTCAATTACCCTAGGGGTGTGGCGACCATTCCATCTACTCATGAAGCAACCTTAAGAGGGAGTAGGGACTCTTATGAACTGGCCCTGGGGTCATGAAGCCCAGAGCCAGTCCTAGGTATACACACTCAGTATCTCAAGTTAGACTTAGGAGCCCCCATCCACTGAGCTAACGGGGGTGCGTTTGGGAGTGATAGGACATCTCTTAAGTGACCTATATAGGACCATTTCCTGATTAGGACACACTAATTTAACTGTCCAGAGTTCGATTCCCCTACCCAGGATAAATATTAATCTATGCTACTTTGCTATTCAATGCCACACATCTTGTCTCTATTCAATCCTGTGACTCTCAAGTCTCCTGCTCAATGGACTTCTACCCACAGGCTTGATCAGTCAATCACAACATAAGTCTTCCACGATCAAGCGCACATATTCACCTATCAAAAGAATCATTTAGAAGGGGGTTTCATTTATAAACTATCACGAGGGTAAATTACTCCGTACAGGAAGGTGAAATTGTAAAATCTACCTAACGCAGCCTAATGGACAACAGAAATACCCCTAGTTTGCGAGGTCCATCGGCAAGCTTTCCAGCCAGGCGAGGGTCTTTCTGCGGCCTGAAACTACAGAGCCATCGGGGCGACGGTGGTCAAGGAACATCGCGAACGGAAGCTCAATGCCGAGTCTATCATAGATTCGACCCCAGACAACTGGCTCGAACTTGATCTCGCTGTCAGTGACCATGCCCTCGCATGAGACGGACTGCAACCTGATGTGGTCGATCACAGCACGCGAACGTTCTATTCTCTGTTGAAGCTTTGGAGCTTGTTCGCAACTCTCTTGATAGTTGCGCAGCAAGACGTCAATTCCCCTAAGCTCCTCGCTCATCGTCGTGAGCGACTTCGCCGTAATGGTAGTGCCAGATATACCTCGCACGGTACCATTCATCAGAAGCGGGACTGTCCGGGCAGCAATCAAAATCAGGGCAGCAGCGTAAAGATATTCAAGCAGCTCACACTTAGCATGCTCATTTTTCGTGTTGGCATAGGATGCGTTGAGAGTCTTGACAATGTCTTGGGCGGCAGTCAAACATTTTACTGCACTGTAGTACACCAGGCCGAGGACAGGAGACGCATCCATCGAGTCAATATCCCTCCCGGTGAGATGAGGGCTCGTTTCACAAGCGCAGTTTTGGGAAAGTCGCAGGCTCAAAATGAAGAAAGGCCGGTATTGACGAAGTCGGAAATAGACAAATCGCACATGAGCCAGGAGGCACATGCGGCGAGCAACAAGGTCTTTCTTCATGGTAAAATCGATGCCGGAGCCTGCCCATTCCAGGCATTTAGGCAGACCGTTCTTCCAGCTCGAGAGTTTTTCATTCAGTTCCTGGAAGCCAGACAGGTCCACAATGGAAAGCCATTTGATCGGGCATTCCATGCGAGTCACACGTAGATCATTTTCAACGGTGATCAAATCATCAGTGTACTTAAAGAGGGAAGCACAAGCAATGAAAAAAGAAGGCGTTGCGGGGCATGGCGCCACGGTTCGAACGCCAGGTACTCCCATGTTGTCAGTAATATGCGACTGCATCGGCATGGGTGAGTTGTAAAAGCTGTCGAGAGATTGGTCGACAACGCCAAGCTGGAGAGTGAGAGATAGTTTTTTCATCCAGAGACACTGCCATACCAGCCGAACCTGCTCCAACGATTCTTCGTCCACGGCGAGAGAACCACCATGCATAGTTTGCATCCGAAGAGACTGCGCTCTGCCAATAGCCATAGATAAGATATCCCAAGCCATTTTCAGGTGCCCGACCATATGGAGATAGTGGACTTGGAGGATTTGGTGATGTAACGATTGAAACGAAGGTCGAGATTTGAAGGGATCACCGATGTTAGATAGAGCTGCATCGTACCATTTGCGGCTGCCTTCCCAGAGACCCTTATCACTAGTCAGGTGGCAGGCAATTGCAATGCAAAGCCCGAAAGTTGGGTCAAGGACTGTGGGTCCGACCTTCCCATGGTTCACGGCCACGGCGAAATCAACTTTGAGTTGTTCGAGATTGAGGATGGGCAGGATAGGAGCCTCATTCCTAACGAAGATGTTCCAGAGTTTCTTTGCGGCATCGGGGCTGAACGGCTGGCTGTCAGAAGCAACATACCTAGAAGCCGAAGTGACAATGTTGTTAATGTTCACCAAATGGCGGCCAGGTGCAGGACGTTTCTTGGACGCCGGTTCCATGGAAGGCGACGCAGTGTCGTTGGATTGCGACAACTGGCTACCAGAAGTAACGCGCCTCTTGGGCCGGATGAGAGGCACGGATGACAACATGGTGTCCTCAGTCAAATCAATGGGTTCCACAGGTGGTGTGGGTGAAGATGAAGAGCGAGAGGGGAAAAGAGGAGGATGGGTGGTTGAAAGAGAGAGGGATGGGAAAGGAGGGGGATGCGGTGGTGAAGGAGACAGAGAGGTCATAGAGTTTTCTTTATGAGTTGTTGTTCTTGAGGGTGTTTCTGGCGTGGGTGAGGAAGCCACGCGTGGAGAGGTAGGCTTGGATGGCACCTTCCTTGTTGAGATCGGAGTTTCTGTTTTGGCACCTGGACTACCGGTGCTGACGTTGGCAATCTCTCCATCTGGGTCTAAAAGCTCCGCAAATTTCCTACGGGTTGAAGGACTCAGCTTCGAGTTGGTCCCTATGGCTGCAAGAAGTTGGGTGCAGAGGAAACCGATGCGTGGGTCTTTCTCGTCCAATCCATAGGAATCAGGGTTAAATATGATTCTTTTTAGGCGATAGAGGAACAGGTAGTTGTGATCGGATGTTGGAGCCGCCGATGCACTTGACAAGCACTCTTCAACGCATATGATACGCTCTTGCATCTTCTTCTCCTCGGGACTCATCAATGGGCCATATAAGAAGTTCTCAAAGCGGCTGAGAAGAGCACGAGAGCATCGGCCACCCTTTTCCAGCTTGACTGTTGCATTTTGCATGAGATCATCTTCTTCACGCCACTTATCATTCAATGGTGTGGCACTCGATCCAGTAATCGTGGGTTCAGTGGTTGGGCGTTCGGTCTTAGCTTTCATGAGTAGCTTGACGATGTTGCGCAGAGGCCCTGCTGCAATATTGCGATGTTTCATTCTCTGGACATTGATTTCGGTAGTCAAGTTGCACCGGAGCTCCGTTTCATCTTGAGGCAGAGTAGGAGATATGCTACGCAGTGGAGCCGGTCTACTTCCACTGGGCATATCGGTGCCAAATGGTGTGTTTTGACCCTTTTCCATCGCAGATTCCTTAGCGGCACCTCTAGAGCCAAGTTCGGATATCTTTTGCCGTTTCGCAGGAGGCTGCTGGGGTATCTGCGTCTGCTGGGCATGGCTGAAATCATGTTGGATGATTGATCCAACCACTAAGTCTGCAGAAGGATATCTGCATTCGGCTTCAAAGCCCATACTCTGACAGGCCTGGCAGACTATGTAAATAGTCAGTCGTCAATGCACCTGCAATCCTCGTTGCCCTATCAAGTCATGGAGTATTACCTGGTCTAGTGCGATCACAGCGCCTGTGCCTTGCCCTGCATTTCACACAAGGAAGTCCCAGTAGGTGGGTTGACTGTGATGAATAATTCGTTGATGATGGATCTGCGTTATTCGTCATTGGCGTTTGATCAGCCATTGCCAGGTTCAGTTCACTGAATCAATTCAGTGAAGAAGTAAATCTATGGAGGTAACATTATTAGCGTACGTTGCTCGGACTTGGGATGATAGAGTTCGCCTGGCTGAGTTGACTTGATAGAGACCGTACAGTTCCCCATAAAGCCAGCGACAAAGAGCTTTTGTTTTTGGAAAATTACTCACCAATGTCAAAGACTAAACTTTTTGAAATGATCAAGGGGAACTGGAGAGAAGGAAGATGTTAGTTGTTGGTTAGTTCACGAAGTATATAGGGTTCACAGTGAAGTGAGAACAACCATTTACACCGTACGATGCAAAAGATGTTAAGCCAGCAACACAGATTGGATTTGAGAACTCCTTACCGAGGAGTTCAATAATATGTTGATCTGAAATGATTCACCGAGGAATAATTGATGAAAACGCGTAGACGCGCGTGGCAGAACCGTGACGGTCACAATGACAGATGGTTGTGAGGCTCGGATCACGACGAGAAATACAAGGGGAAACAAGAATTCAAGATCCAGCCCAACCGCGCCTCATCAAATCAAATTCCCTGAATGATAGACCTCATCTTCTTGCGTAGTGACGATGATACCTGAAAAGGGCTACTGTACAAGATTCAGGGGTGGTTGTTGTAGCCATATCTTACCGCCTAGCCATAGTTATCTACAATACTCGCGATGCCCTCGGTAATAGCCCTATGATACCCATCTAGAAGTACAAAAGGAACTAAAAAAACGTGCACATGAAAGATTTTTTTTTCTGATCATTAGTTCAATCAGGTAATTTAAGACCAAAGAGAATGACTGAGTTGCGGCGAATACCACAACTATTGGAGTATTTGTACGAAATAGGCAGGTTGAGGTCAATTTTCGTAGCAAAATTGATTCACATTACAGATCAAGTATATAATCAACACATTAAGACGTCCGTGCAGAACAAAGACTACATATATTATATAATGATGGGGTACCTGGGCACATCATGAGCGGATCTGCCATCATCTACCTGACGGTCAAAGATAGATCAAATACATACAGAAGTATACCCCCTTGTGGAATGTGCAGGGGGGTAGCTAAGTCCTTCGAGCAGGACTGAGGAAGGGAGTATGCAAATATAATGCAACAAGTGCCATATGCATTACTGTGTCGGTATCACGATGTCAATCCCTCGATATAGGAGAATCCCCCCGGTGTGTAATGGGTCCCGCCAGCGGACCACGGGAATCGGTAAAGTTAGACATATAATGCTCCTCCAAAATAAAATCATCAGGACTGTGCTTTTTCCGCTTCGTCCACCGATCGCTCGACTTCTTGCTCTGTCCATCGATGGAACAGTTTGTGCGCGTCGGAGAGATTGGCCTCCTTGGGCAGCCCGTTGTGAACTGACTGGACGTGGAGGACTGGAACATCAAACTCGTAAACATCCTTCCAAGATTTGTTCCCGGGTTCCATGATGTCCGCTTCGACGTATTCAAAGGAACGCCGTTTCTGAAGCTGAAGCACGGTGTTTTTGGCTGTATCGCACAGGCCACAGCCTGCGCGTGTAAACAGCGTCAAGCGGGCTGGACTGAGAAGGGCACGTGTAGGAAACATGGAGAAACAATATCAATTATGCCAGAAATGAATTCAACCTCGGAATTTCAAGATGGCCGGTGCGGTGACGCGAATGCGGTCAGAGAGTTCTCCGCGATGGAACATTCGAGCTTCCCCGCTAAACCCTGTTAGGAAACCTGCGCCATTCTCTCCAGAACACTTTACAATCTTCTCTTTCGACTCAGTCCCGTCAATTACCTTTTAATATCGATCTTGCTGTACATCATGTCAGGCAAGTGCGTCCACAAAGCGTGTGGAAAGACCTTCACCGACCCGGAAGAAGACTGCGTGTATCATCCGGGTCCCCCAGTGTTCCACGAGGGGCAGAAAGGTAAGTACCTTGGTGTTCAAGCTATTCCAGATCTGTGTCCCTTAAGTCCACCGAGGGTTCACGGTGGACCATTGCGGCGGCGCAATGTGACACCTGATCTTGTCTCTACCTTCTACTACGTTTCTACCCCGCGGCACCGCTAACTTCTCAGGCTGGAAATGCTGCAAGCCCCGCGTCTTGACCTTTGAGGAATTCCTCGCTATCCCGCCATGCACAACCGGGAAGCATTCCACCGTCGACGACACACCCGTCCCCGAGCCCAAGGCTGAGGAAGTCATTGCTCCTCCTACACCGGCTGAGCAGAAAAAGTCCGAGCGGCTACCCATCTCCGCTACCCCGACTATCGCAACTTCAGCGCCGCCTGAGAAGCCAGTCATCGAGGAGCCTGAGTCTGATGACCCTGATGTGGAGATCCCGGCTAACGCAACGTGCCGTCGGAGGGGTTGCGGCGCGTCCTATACCGGGTCTACTGCTCGCGATGAGGAGAAATGCGTCCACCACCCGGGCCAACCGGTCTTCCACGAGGGCAGCAAGGGGTGGTCCTGCTGCAAACGCCGGGTGCTCGAGTTCGACGAGTTCCTGAAGATCCCCGGTTGCACAGAGAAGACGAGGCACATGTTTGTTGGCAAGGCCAAGCCCGCGGGCGAAGAGAAGGTGGACACAGTCAGGTGCGTATACGACAAGACAGGCGGACCAGTTCTGCTATCTCGTTTGGGAAACAGCGAACTAATATAGTTTTGCATTCTATAGAAACGATTTCTACCAGACTCCCACCGCCGTCAATGTCTCCCTCTACCTTAAGAAGATTGACAAGCAACGGGCCAAGGTTGAGTTTACTACCAACTCGATTGTCTTCGACCTTCCTACCACAGACAACAGGCGCTATCAGGATACATATACTCTCTTTGCGCCGATTGACGCGGAGAAGTCAACTTTCCGCGTGCTAGGCACCAAGCTAGATTTGAGCTTGCTCAAGGCTGATGGTACTAGCTGGCCGGTGTTGCGCAGTGATGACAAGTGGACTGGACAGCGCATCCAGATTGGCAATGCTGGACATGCTTGATTGGGGACATGTATAAAAAAAAATATACACGATAGAAAATTTCAACGGTTATGACGGCGATGACAATTGAGATCTTAGCTCCAGCAGTATGTGTAGTAGATGTTCAACCATGGCACATACGTAGCTTGAGGTGCTCGACATGTCCACATCAACGATCTATATCTCGGCAAAAACAACCCAAACATTACAGGTTTGGTCTAAGCAAGATATGGTATCGCAAGAGCACATAAACCTAGCAAGGCTTCCGAGGCATTTTTGAAGATGGTTTGTACTCAACGTACATTTACACCGTGCCAATTACCAGTCGAAAATCGTGAGATATCCAACGCTACGCTCGTTGCAACATTTGATCAAATTGGAAGACCAGACAACCAGAGACAACTCAAATCACATAAAAGTGATTGAAAAAAAATTGGTATGTGACGCCCTCTCCACAGCTAGCACCCATGGGGCTTCCCGAAGGATACCCTAGCATAGCCATAAAGTGATTGGGAAAAAGAGAGACGCCTTTACTCTCCAGGGCCGGGAACGGAAGAAAACCCATTATGGCCGAAACCATAGGATAACCCTCAGCAAGCCACATTGTGGAGCCCCGTTGAAATTTACATTAAGTTATGTAAACCTCTACTGATGATGGAGAGAAAAGAAAAAAAGAGTAAAGGCGCGGGCAAGGAGATCCTATTTATGCGTCTGGAAGTCGATATACGCTAGTGCTGATTGGGTCTCGGTGTAAGTATTTTTCCATTTCGTTGACTAATATTGGATTATATGACTAATTTCCCTTTTTTGTTGAGGGATTTTGTCGGATTGGGTAAGTAGGGCTAATCTCAGGGCTTTATCAATCCATGTGACCCTGGACCCTCTTTAACTTCCAATGTCTTTTCATGTGATTATCCCGTGACTTGCACCATACATTACAAAGTAGGTTCAGAGATGAATGCTTGAGTACGACTTCGCAACCAAACTGCAATTGAAACAAGCAATACGACATTAAGAAATTGTTCTACCGTTATCTAATAGGTTCATATCTGAAACAACCAAAACTCTATACATCCATGTACCACTAGTAGTGGCGGTGGAAAAGTCCCTTTGGTCCTCAAGTACCCTAGGCCCCAGCAAATAGTCACATCTTCCAATCACGGGTCGGGAGCACGAGACCTCCCCTCACTGTCTCAATTAACCTCCCCGCCATCGATAGCGTCTTCGAATTCTTCGCCCCTGAATCTTTTGTCCCTTCGCCCTAATACAGAACCCTTCTTTCCACGTCCTCTTTTTCTTTCCAAAATTTCATATCTATCCGCCCATTGCGCTAGCAGCCTAGACTTGTGCAATTGCCTAAATCCGGAATTCAGGACATCGTCACTGATATAGAGGCGGTGCCTCTCAAGCGATTGCGGATTAATTAAATAATACAAGATTATCCCGACACCCAAACCCCCAAACCAACTCGCGCCCATACCCCTTTTTCCACCTCCGCTCCACTCAACTCCAATATGGGCTCGACAGAGACTCAGGCGGTCACGCCAGAATTCCGATACATTCCCCTATCATACAACCATGCCGACTCCCAGGCATCTGCTCTCCGACTAATCCTGACCCTCAACCCGGACTGGGAGGGTCCTGGCAACAACATTGAGTTCGTGCGATTCACCGACGGCATCACCAACACCGTGTGTTTCTCTTTCTTTTCCCAGTGCCGCTTCCCACGAGACCAATAATAAGGTCGTCTGAATCCAATTGTGACTAACAGATTCCTAGCTCTTCAAAATTATCAACCTGAGACCCGGCCTGACGGAGGAACAAATAGACAATGAGGCAGTACTGATGAGGGCGTACGGAAATGGCACAGAGATCCTCATAGATCGCGAAAGTACGAGCAAAATCCCCCCGACGGATAACCTTCGTCAAAACCCCCACTTCTCAAACCACAAAAAAGCCCCTCCGCGCCTCCTTTGCCCATTGCGACATATGCTGAAGTAGATCAATTATTCTTAGGGGAAACCAAGTCCCACGCACTTTTGGCTAGCCGCGGCCTAGCCCCGCCCCTCCTCGCTCGATTCAAAAACGGCCTGCTCTACCGCTTCATCCGAGGCAGACCCTGCGGCCACCAGGATCTAGTCTCCCCGCCCATCTGGCGCGGTGTCGCCCGCCGCCTGGCGCAGTGGCACGCCGGCCTACCTAGTAGCGGAGCCCCGTCTGTCGAAGATGTCTCTGCATCCAAGATCACGGACATCCAGGACGATGAGATCACCGTAATCCAGCCTCGGCGCGCGGGTCCGTCTATGTGGGCAGTGTTGCAGAAGTGGGTGTTGGCTTTGCCGGTCACCACTCCCGAGCAGCGCGCTCGTCGGTTGAGTCTGCAGGCAGAGCTACAGTGGGCTCTGGATATTCTGGATGATGGGAAGGGAATTGGTGAAGACGGGGTATGTGCCTCCCAGCCCCGGTCCTCTGGAAACGGGCGTCGCATTGTTGAATATATGGCTAATCGCTGGGTTTTAGCTCGTCTTTTCGCACTGCGATCTCCTATGTGCCAACGTGATTGTCCTCCCGAGCGAGAACGGTGTTACAACCCCCGAAGACGGTATCGCGCCTGTCAACTTCATCGATTATGAATATGCGGTCCCTGCGCCCGCAGCCTTCGACATCTCCAACCACCTTGCTGAGTGGGGTGGTTACGACTGCGATTACAACATGATGCCGACAAAGTCTGTGCGCCGTCAGTTCCTTACGGATTACACAAAGAGCTACTGTGAACAACGGGGTCTTGACGCTTCATCCGAGGCTGAGATTGTCGACCGGCTTTACGAGGATGTTGACCGCTTCCGTGGCATCCCCGGTCTCTACTGGTGAGTTCAGCGAACGCAATTGGCAAAACACAGCGTAATGGGCGTATCATGCTAACAATATCTCCCAGGGGTGTTTGGGCACTCATCCAAGCGCAAATTTCCCAGATCGATTTCGACTATGCCAGCTACGCTGAGACCCGTCTCGGCGAGTATCACGCGTGGAAGCGCGAGGTAGACGGAAGCCGCAAGCAAGCCGGCGAGGAGATGCCGCTGCGCGAGTCCCGCTGGGCATCGGAGGCGTAAAGCCACTCGCAGTTCTCCCTTTTTGATTCCCATTCTCTTCTACTCCTATGAAATAACGTCAATTAATCCCCTTGGCGCCTCATTTTCCGAATACTTTGTCAGCGCTATCAATTACTCATGGTCCTGACCAAAATCCCACCTACCCCTTCACCTCATTCTTGCAATTGCAAGAAACCCTCAACATGGCACTCCAGAAATTCAACAATCTCCTTGGAGTCAGCCTACACCGAAACCGAATCTAACCGATGAAACAAAACAAAGTTGTGGTCTTGGACGACCACGGACGAGGTTGGACCTCTTGGTCCAACACAAGAGAAAATAAGAGAAAGATAAAAGAGGAATGGTCGGAGCAAAGATCTTGGTATTGGTCGATATAGATGGTGGTATGTCTCTTTGCATTGTGGTCATTTTCCCTGGTCTTGTGTGTTGTCTTTCAACAATGTCATAACTGGGGTGTTTTAAGATTAATATAGTTTCTTTTTTCCCCTTAATTTCTGAATCGATTTATTCTCAAGGCTTGTTTCTAAAGTTGTGCCTACATGTAGTCTTTGGGGGATGCTGAGAGCTTGAACCACAAGAATTTCTCACTCAACAGTATTTTGAAATCGGGTTGGTCCCAAACTGTGAGAGTGTAGATGTTGTGTTGATATATTCTGGTAGACGCGATCGTATTTTGCATCAGAATCGGTTGTGAAAAAAAGGAACAAAAAATCGAGGTTGTAGAAATAGCGAGAAATATATATCCACTTCGGTACTTGTATAGACCTCCAACATTCATCTTTTGGTATTTAGTAAGTCCATGTAAGAATCCACTAACCCATTTCTGAACCCAGTGAGACGTACGTCGAACCCCCTAAAGGTCCCTGAATACTTTACTAATTTTTGTTGCTCGTCGCGTATCCAGGACATTACCGGCCTAGCACCAGCTGAATCAACAACCCCTGAAAAGAATCCTAACAATTTAGCAGTTAGATTCCTCTCCAAAAGCCCTTCCAAACCTCCCTACAACCCCTGAGAATTCTCAATATCTCATCTATCGCGTTGCACCCACAGTAGACAGATCAACAAACCTACTCTTCTTCCTACATATAATAATAGAAAGCATCTCCGCAACGACAAGTGCAGCAACCCTCCACGTTGATGGATACAAATTCAACAGATGAAAAGCAACAACAGGTCGACTCGGCCTACACACAGCACCATCCAAACCCACCCAAAGCGCAAGACCAACCAAAACCTCTGCGAGAAAATCAATGGGCACCCAATCCACCCGCTCTAAAGTGGATCTAAGCCACGCGCAAAGCCCTGCTTAGACTCTATTTAGCCGATTCTTAGGCCTATCCCGTTATTCCTCGCCCGACTCGCATAGAAACTGCGTTCTTTGTCTAGCTACGGCAATATCCGACTCAATGCGAAGACTCTGCTGCCATCCTTCGAAGGCCTTCCCGTCAAGAACTTTGGTTTAGTCTCACAGCGCATCACGTGCAAGGTCTGAAGGATTGTCCGAAGCCGGGATAGAAATTGGTAGCCTCCTAAATCGGCAAGCATTTTCAAGTTACCCGGGATCCCTCGTGGCATATTGTGCTTTATAGACCGTGGTTGGTAGAAACAACTATCGCTATGATATTGGGATGTCTAGCTACCTATCATACAATGAGAATGTCACACTGCGAAGATTGAGATTGCCTTCGAGCCATGTCAATCCAAGATGTATGAGTACCAGGCTCGTTCCACCAGGTCTCAACGAAGGAGAGAACACGCGCTCTGTCCAAAGTGCGGCTGATACGCATGACATTGCCAAAACATTCTTGAATAACCTTTTGACCGGTGGGATGTCCTCGGAGTTCAGTTCCTGCCATGAAAAGTGGCCAGACAAGGTCCTGAGCGAACATGCCGTCTCGAGTCTCGGAGAGAAATTGTACATAGCGGAGGATTTCATACCGAGACTTGCATACATCGTCACCAGCAGTAGCATCGTCTGATAAAGCTTGGTGGCTGTAAATGAGAGTTGCATGGTAGTACATCCATATTACCAGTTCAAAGCCATGTTGATCTTCTTCAGAGGAGAAGTGAATGGATTCACTGAGACGCATCATGGTGTTTCTAGCCGACTCAATCTGCGACTGGATGTCTTGCATCGGGCCGTGTGATGAAGCTTGCTCGATCGTCCCGGAACAAAATCTCAGACGCTCAAGGCGGGTGATTTGGTCAATGACCCGAATGAAGTCGGTGAAGACTGCGTTCTCGGCGCTAGCAGGAGGAGTCTTGATAGCCATGTTGTAGTTATCAAATGTCGTCAAATCAGCCCACACCGAAGCCTCATAGAATTCTAACATGAGGAACTGTTCAATGCAGGCCAGCTGGTGGTGTCGCGACGGTCGGTTCCCTGTCGCCAGGATGATCTCCCTCGCAGCGGAGAGATGAACCCTCCACCCGGCGCCTTGTGGTTTCATAAACTCATTATTGCAGAGAATAATCACGGATGCAAGTGTATAGGCAGATGTTGTGCTCGCTTGCAGTGCCGACCTAGATGATGTAGAAAGATTGTTCAACTCCTGAGCCAAAAAAGACAAAGATTTATTTTGATAGTTTTTCGACATCTGCTGGAATGTCCCATGGCCCAGGTCATTTGGAGAGTACTCCGATGCCAGGTCATGGGCGGCGATAGCGAGAATGGAAGAAAGGACTGTTTCAGAGCTCTCGGCCATTGGCAGAATCATGTGACGCCATGCATTTTGTTGCGGAACCCACGCAAGTCGATGCGCGACTCGGTCGTTGAACCAGGAGAGCAACCGGGAAACATGCAGCGGTCGATCTGACGATAAGCAAAGTTCCGAAGCGGGGGATGGAAGAGGTCCCCGAGAGACATGCGTTGCCGAATAGCTATATAGATCTAGAGCATTTATGCCGCTGCCAACAGTATGGGTCTCTGTTAAGCTCCCTGACGAAGGAGATGAGTTTGATACTGTGATAGGAGCATCGAGGGAGGGAAATGCTCTACCCCGCAGACTACCGCGGCTAGCGACGCCCTGGACCCATTTAAGCTGTAAGCCGTAGCCGGGGCATTCCAAATTACGTTTCCCGCATTTGTGGCAGGTGGGAAGGCCCCGATCACATTTGATACGTCGCCTTTGGCACGTTGGACAATCTGATAATGTTAGGACCCCGCTTTAGCACGAGGTGAGATCCATACCTTTAACAGCCAACCGTTCCGTAGAACCTGCGGACATTTGCGTATCACATTCGACTTTCTACTAGGGAACACAGATAATCTTGGAATAGAGCCAGGCCGTTGATATGGGCACAGAATTTCGAGTGTGTCATGTGATACACAAAATGGGAATTTGATGCCTTCGACGAAGTTGCATTGCGCTAAACCTATTCGGGATTTCAGTGCAAGCGGATTGGCCCTTTCCACTCGAGTGGACCGGACCCCACGCGCATATAACATACACAATCACACGTGAACGGAGTGCATGGGGAGGTGGTAATCTATTGAATATTAGTTCTTATATTGGCTTTTCCCTCATAGAATGATCAACGATGTCGAGATTTGAAGATCGATTGTGCAAGTCCTAAATATAGTGGGGGACCAATTCTCAGATCAGTGATACAGCCACCTAACCGGGTAATCCATCACGTTCAGTTCTTTACTCCACAGAAGTAGAACCGGGAAGGATTAGACTGGTATTGTATGTATGCATCCTAGTAGTATGTAGACATCAAGCCTCGACACCAAAAAAGCCAGTCATAAACCCAATCCTTCCGTCTTGGCTGCCAGTTCTAGAAAAGAACACCGGTATCAACAGAAGTACATACAGGACGACTCTCTCTGTTATATTTCCATGACCATTTAAATACGCAGCAAACAGAACTTGCATGGTCATTATTCTGTAGACGGTATTATGCCTTCTCTTAATATTGAACTCGTTGCTCCTTCTACGCACCATGTCAATAGCTAGTGCCATGGAATGCGTGATGTTTTAGCTTTGGCAGGGCATGTCGTTCTCTTAGCGACTTCACCTGGACCTCTGGACAATGTGAACCAGATTCACGTTCGACTTATTCTAGTTGTGACATCTACAACAGATAGCAAAAACACTCGGTGGATTTTGTGTCCTTCATTCTGCAATCCAACAAACAAATCGCTCCAGCCGGGTTCAAGAATTGAACGAACTCTTCCAGAATTTTCTGTGCCAATATTGCCTAAGGAATAGATTGAGACTTCCCACGAGAGAATCATCTTAAAATTCTACTTCTACTTGGACATTCCAACAAACATACCCGCCACGATGAAAACACCTCTTGGAACCATCACGTATGGGATAGAAGCCACGGCAGCGACATCGAATCATGAGATTATCACCCGCCGCCAACCTCGAAAGTCCAACCACCAGATAATCCAGGCCAATCTGAAACAGACTCAGCATCACCTATACTTTCCAACCTCGAAGGCCACACAAGGAATGACTCACAAAACTCAACACCGAGGTCTGGACTGAGGATCTCATTCACGGCTACAATCCATACTCATTGGGAGTTGGCCCCTGAGAATCGGGAAACAGAACTCTGCCATTTTGTGGTGCGAGAGTTGAAGTGGGATGCCGAAGAGATAGTCAAGCTTATGAGCAAGCCTAGCAGCCTAGATGGGAACTATTCTATCTGCGAAGGACAATCGGTCCGCAAGTTGTGTGATGGAAGTCAAAAAGAGTACTGGGGGCCTGGCCGCAACCCATACATTAAGAAACCACACGGACATAGTGTTGGGGGAAAAGGGAGGAGAAGAATCAGCCATCTGCATTCCGTTTGATTTAAAAATTCCAAAAACAGGCAATGGTCGTGGATGGCATTGACCTGGCTGCATATGAGATCGGCGCCGATAGGGCTGGACATACTACACAGTGTGGTTTTCCTGGGGAACTTTCTTTCCCCTCACCGGGCAAGATAGCGAAGGGAATTACTGTTCGCCATCAGTTGAGGATTAAACTTATTATGGGGGAAGATGTGTTTCGTAAAGGTACTGGTAAGCCTGTGGAATGGAAGCTGCTGCAGACTATTATATGTCCTGCGGTTCCATTGAGTGTTTGTGAAGTATCTATTTGGATGCTAGTAGATGGGTATGGTTTGGTGGTATGGGTTTAACGTGCTGTTGTGCTGGTTTCATGAGAAGTCAGTCTGTTCCCACATCAATAATTAATTTCAATGAAATCATTGGAACATTGTACAGAAATGGGTACAATTCCATCCCATGAAACAACAGACAACGTGACTATGAGTAGATTTGCCCCATCCCAAAACCCCGATGTCCCCACAAAATCCACGGCAAAGCGCTCTGCCGGGCCGGGCAAAATGCGGAGAGAACGAGACCAAAGGAGGAGTATAAAAAGAATATATCCGATGAGCACCCAAATACTACATCCCTATAATCTCATCTCCCAATATCAAACATCTCAATTTCACACTCCCCCATATACCATCGAATCACCCCAACTCGACCGATATCAAACCACACAAAATGGGCAAATCCATCCTCCTAATCAACGGCCCCAACCTGAACCTCCTGGGAACACGGGAGCCACACATCTACGGACACACAACGCTCTCCGACGTAGAATTGAACAGTCGTGAGGTGGCTGCCAGCCATGGTGCCGTGCTCGATTCTTTTCAGTCGAACCACGAAGGCGCGATCGTGGATCGCATCCAGGCGGCGCGTGGCAAGGTTGACGGTATCATCATCAACCCGGGCGCATACACACATACATCTGTTGCGATCCGCGATGCCTTGCTCGGCGTCTCTATCCCATTTATTGAACTCCATGTGAGCAATGTCCATGCGCGTGAGCCTTGGAGACACCACTCGTACTTCAGTGATAAGGCTGCGGGCATTATTGTTGGTCTTGGTGTTTATGGGTATAAAGTTGCCGTTGAGCATGTTTGTGTTAATTTCGAGGAGAAGGAGAAGGAGGCTAAGGCTGCGCTGTGATTGAGTTGGGAATTCAGCTGATTGTACATACTCATTATGGAAGGCTTTTATGTATTTATGTCGGTGGCGTCCTGCTGTAGAGGCTTACTCTTCTGAAAGATGAATTTCTACACTAGTAATTTCATATCTGTCATAAAGTATCTTGTATTACCAGTTTCCTGGCCTGGAACACCTGGGCAGCTTTGTGTATTGTGGAGATTTGCAGTGCATTACCACACATACCAGAAATCGGGACCCCTTCGAGGATTCCAATGTGCGATGGAATATCGCAGCCATGAACTAGTTGCATAGCTCTTGCTCCCCAGGAGCCAGATGAACAGCGGACCGAGAGACCAATGAGGCCGACCAGCGGCGACAGGGTGTTCCCGCGGCATTCATGTTATCGGAATGGGATGGTGGTACAAATCATCATCGTTTGGGGGTTCCCGACATGTTAAGAGGCTGCGACTCCCGTCGCATGCCAGAGGGAGTGCCATTATTGGGTAGCTGCTCGGTATGCGCCAGCAAGAAAGGCTCGATCTGACCGGAGAACGAGTAGAGCTCAGGAATGCCCACATCAGAGACAAAACCTAGGTTCTGCATGAACTCTGGTTGGTTGTCGGCTCTATAGAGGATCAAAGTCAGTCATTATGCAAAGAAACATGATATAAATGCTTACTTTTCGGCACCATCTAATGACGCGAGCTCATCAAATAATGCGTCGAGATCAGGGGCAATTCGTTGCCTCCTTGGACGCGCATAGCCATCCATATCAACAAATGTGCTCATATTGACCGATGGGTCATGATATGCCGTTGAATGGTATTGTGCGGTTTGGTTGTATGATGGCGAAAGCTCGGCAAGAATTCCGGTACTGTTATGGGATTCGCTAGCCACTGATGTAGGATGAGGAAGTCCATTACCAAGAGAACCATCCAAGTGGCCCTGCAGTGGGGGAACTTCAGAAGCGCCCCCAACGGAGGTTAGGGATGACGGCGTGCGGAGAAGAGATACATCTTCGATGTGTTGTGTGGTTCTAAGCCAAGGCGTGGAGAGGAATGAGTTTTCAGAGACGGCTGGGGCATGTGTATTATTTTGGGGCCCATTTGTCGCATGTGCGGCATGGAGAAGATGCGAAGGTGTGGCTATCGAAAGCGATGACGAGATTGCCATGTCTCCACCGGTAGAGGTATCGATGTGCTGTGAGAGCGGAGGGGAATTACTCAGTAGTTGAGATCTTTGTGATGCATTTCGACTAGCGGTATGTTGGTTTGGCATAGTCCACAACATAGAGAGCTTCGAGGAAAAATTGTGGATGTTATTTCGTAAACCCATGTCAAGGACTGACGGAAGGTCCCTAGAAATGGATCGTGGAAGGCCAAATCGAAGCATTAGACCGAAGGTTGGTGCAGTGGCTGAAAAGCTGTATGTCTCCATGTAGGCCTGAAGCAATTGCAAAAGCCTTTTCGAGCTTTCTGTAGCACGGATTTTGTGAGGAGGTTCAGGTATGTTCTGATCATATTCGCGAATGGCAATTTGAGAGCTGAGAGCAATGACAATACTTTCATATGTCATCTCTAACCCAAAAATATGCGGCGAAGCCAGTCTCACAGGGCGACTTTGTAGATCGACACGATAGCTTTTTGGTAATTCTGTTACCCAGCGCTGTAATTGCAACTCCAATTGCTCCAGTTGCGATCGAGATATTGTCGGGTCATGCTTGCAACAGCATAGATCATTCAAAATCGACACCAGGTTGACGAGGCGGTTGAAAGTGCTCAAAGCGTGGAGGGGACCGCGCTGCATAGACGCCCGTGAGGATTGGTTCGGGCGTAACCCAGTTTGATCTTCCCAAGGATGCCATTCCTCAAGACCATCCTCATTGATGGAACCTATCCTGGATAAATCTGCCTTTCGCAGCGATGGGCATTGTGAAGTTGATTCCGCAATGAGGGTCTCGAGAACAAAGCAACCCAAAAACACATGTTTCGCACGACCGAGCTGTTTTTCTTGATCCGGGGTTCTTGATGATGATGAATATGAAGGTTGATCGAGATTTAGTACATGCGCAATCCGAACAGCCTGGCCAACAAGCATCCAGGAGCCAGTCCATTCTTGCTGTCCGAATTTGACCAAACCCAGGATCAATAGTGCTTGCACGTGTCCGATTTCGTGCGGGCCACTCTCAGGCGGAATCAATTGTCGGGCAGTAGCATACATTTGTGATGGGGTCATCTGATCACTAGGCTGATCTTCTACTTCCCTGGAAGCTGAGATGGAAGCATCCTGGAGGGAGGCGAGAGTGAGAACAGCCCACAAGGCAGCATGCTCCCCAGACCCGGGGGTTAAAACCGATGCGTATACATCGCCTTCAGTATATTGAAAAGCGGTGCGGAGTATGTCATGTTTTTCGAGTATGGGGAACCAACACTGCGTGTAGGAGAAATACACATCAAAAAGGGGCCATGCATTGTAGGGGAGTTGAAGAGGGGGTTTCACGGAGAGCGATCGAGGGCAATCAGGATTAGATGGGAAGGTGAAAGAGGACGATGGTTGGTCATCTGGGGTAGTTGTCTGAGTACCGCAGTCCGCAGTCGGACGTGGCCCGGTAACTTTCACAGCGGTTCGAGTCGACGATACCCCCGGTAATGGCGTTTCATGAGCTTCCATGCCTTCTGGGATCTGCCACTCCTGTGCTTCAGCTGAAGAAAGAATCGCTTCGACATCCAGAGGTGTTTCCCCTTCACCACATGCCTGGAGATTTCGCTCCCTTTCCTCCTCCGGCTGTTCCAGTACTACCAGAATGCGTTCAATGTCTCTGAGTACTGTGCTGTTTTTAAAGGAAGCTAGCAATGCATCCGACCCCTCTGCTTCCTTGCCCATCGTAGCCAAGTGACTGGGAAGATTGATTGATCGCATCAAAGCTCGCATGACATCTTCACTACCTTGGATCTTTTGGAATGCTAGCCCCCAAAGCAACTCCAGCGAGCGAATGTAGCCCGTGGGCAGGCCGCGCTTCTTCGGGTTGGCCTTGTAGGTACATGGTCGGCAGAGGGATGCGCAAGTCGAGCACACTGGCTGTATTCCGTCGCATTTGTCCTTTTTCAACCGGCAACTATCGCAAGCCCGTGAGACTCGCTGACGCTTCGGTTCCCCCGTCACCTTCCCGTCATCTTCTAGTTCGGTCCATCGTCGTTTGGATTTGCTGCTAGCGCCAGTGGCCTGGCGCTGTTCAGCGTTCATGGTGATTGATTAAGCGATCCACTTGAAGGGTTCGGGCGCATGTTCCCGGAAAGCGATATTGATGAACCTTTTGCCGACAGGCGACTGTATGGACTAGCCGGCGACTACGCCATGAACATGAGCCCCACAGGAGATATATTAGGGCCGCCGGGGAGGGATATTGGGACCGAAGCGCGATGTTGAGGGTAGGTGCAGCACAAGGCAAGGTGCTTGCCAACAGAGTTCTTCCGGGGAAGGTTGGATACCCGGCTAGCGGCGAGCCAGTCACTGTCTCGCAAAAGGTAATCGCGTACAGACTGGGATTTAGGCCATGAATTTGAATATGATGTTTGGGCAAGCTAGCAGCGCAATGCAGACTAAGCCACAGCAATCTCGATAATTTCCCCAGCTGTTTTGCACGTTCGTATCTGAGCGCAAATCCCCCGCGGGGAAGAGGAAAACCGAAAGTCCCCGGGTGAGTGCTCGTCCGCCTTATGTAATAGTAACGTATCGGACACGCGCGATTTCTAAGAATATTCTTTTTCCCCCGCAAAACTTGGGGAATCCCGCTTACCATATCGGTTCATTTCCTCCACACCTCCGGATCCTCTATATACGTATATCTCAATACCCTACCGAGGCCCTCCATCTCACCTTTCCGTCCGTGGTAATGGGTCCTCAACTACCTTGCTCCTGATCTCATTCCTACACGTGGGGCCCTTGATGCGCCATGTCCATTTTGGTACGCCCACCGAAGCGCAAGCTCCACGAGGTCGAGGCTTCAGACAATGGGCCTCGGAAGTACAGCTCGGGCATCGTGCTCTCTCCCACTGTCCAGCTTTCACCCCGACCTTCTTCTAGTCAATTGAGTGAACATAGAGAAGCACCTGGAGATTCGCGTCTACCCTCGCTAAGAGAACTACAATCGAACCGTGGGTCCCCGGTATTGTTTGAAAATGGCCATCTTCAAACGCCACGCACCTTCAGTCCGAAGGCATCCGTCGTATTGATCGGAATCCGTGGCACAGGAAAGTCAAGTCTGGCGGTTATCCTCGCGGCGACATCTGGGCGACGATTGATCGATGCAGACCGCTACTTTCAACAGAGTGTGGGATGTTCCCGTGCTGTGTTCAAAAAGGAAAATGATGGACTCGTCTATCGGCAACATGAGGCACGGGTGTTTGAATCGATGCTGGCAGATAACCAAGAGGGATGTGTGATTGCGTGTGGGGCCGGGTCGATGGAACGCAACGGCCAAAGACTTCTTAGGGAATTTGCGCAGACACATCCGGTTATTCACGTTATTCGAGATCCTGAGAGCATCCAGTCGTATCTCAAAGCGTGGGATACGCAAAAGGTGCGACACTTCCTTGAGTTGTCTGGCCCGATATATCGAGGGTGCTCGAACCTCGAGTTTTTCAATCTATCAGAGGCTAGAAGTGAGGATCTATCCAATGATAGCGACAATTCATCACCAACGCACCGAACAGAGCCTAGGTCACATACTCCCATTCCGTTTTTAACGTTGAAACGAGTTCAGCGGGACTTTCTCCGCTTCATTGCCTTTATCACTGGTGACATTGCAGAACTTAACAGTCAGCATGCATCTTTCCCGCTGTCGCTGTTGCCTGTGGAATCTCGTGTGTATACATCAGCAGTGTCAGTGCCGTTTTCCAGGGTGTGTGAGAAGGGTATGGACATTGAGCAGCTGGAATTCACCGCCGATGCCTTCGAACTGGCAGTCGACGTAACAGACTCTTCTGGCCAGCCAGGCCTTAGCTCAAGTCTCGCGGACAGTATCAGCCAGGCGGTAGCACTCATTCGTCGCAATATCATTGTGCCGTTGATATATCACGTGGAAAGCTATACCACCTCCACAGGATCTCTGTCTCCTAGTCAAGTTCCCGTGAGATGTACCGATGAAACCTACTTAAACCTCGTCCGACATGGCTTGCGGCTCTCTACCGGTTTCCTCACAGTAGACCTCACCCGTGATGACAATATCATTACCCAGATCATCTCTGCAAGTGGGCGAACCAGGATCATTGGCCACTTCGAAGCCTTCCATCGTCTGCCGGGGGGCTGGGATGGCGATGAGTATATGAAAGTTTATGAGCGGGCCAAGAGCCTTGGGTGCGATATAGTCCGAGTGTGCCAACCAGCCGAGACACCCGAGGACAATCTCGCAGTGCAAAGATTTCGCCATCGCATCCAAAGCCTGCCTGTTCCTGGTCTTTCTCTGATCGCCTATAACACCGGCCCTCTTGGCCGCATATCTCGTTGTTTCAACCCTATCCTCTCCCCAGTCACACATCCGTCCCTAGTAACGGAACTTCCAACTCATCTACGATCATATATCACAGCCCGCGAAGTGCAGAAGGCGCTTTATAGCTCATTTGCCTTGGACCCGATGCAATTTTTCGTCTTTGGCGCCAACACAACATATAGTATGTCGCCTGCGATGCACAACACTGCTTTCAAAATCTGTGGTTTGCCGCACAATTACTCCATTCACCAATCACCTACTCTGCGAGGGTTAAATGACCTTGTGGAAAATCATTATTTTGGTGGATCAAGTGTCAGCCTTCCGTACAAAACAGAGTGTATTCCTCTCCTCCACTCAATGTCTGCGCATGCCCGAGCCATCGGTGCTGTCAATACCCTCATCCCAATCCGCAACCTCGATGACCTGGACGACATCCGTCTTCAAGAATCTTCAATCTTTCTCCAAAAGAGCCGTGCTGGCCCTATCAAGGGCCTTCATGGTGACAACACCGATTGGATCGGAATCTGCAATTGTATTCGCCGGGGGTTGTCTCCGGCAAATGCGGTTCGCTTGTCATCCACAGGCCTTGTCATAGGATCTGGCGGGATGGCCCGCGCTGCAATTTACTCAATGATCCATCTTGGTGTGCAAAATATCTTTGTCTACAACCGCACACTCGCCAATGCAGAGAAACTGGCCCACCACTACAACCGACAAGATCTCCACTCAAAAGAGGCCGGCGGGTCTGGCCGTCCCACAGTTCGCATCATTGCTTCATTATCCGACCCCTGGCCTGCAGATTTCAAACAGCCGACAGTTGTTGTCTCGGGAATTCCGGCCCATAGTATTGGAGGCGAGCCAGCACCCAACTTCCGTATGCCAGTGCAATGGTTAGAAAGCCCGACAGGTGGCGTTGTTGTTGATGTAAGTTTACAAATCTCTTTTTTACCAGCCTGCAAAGATGACCTTTTATTCCTAACCAATGTTTATAGCTGGCATACAAGCCCCTCAATACCCCTCTCATGAAACAAACACGAGCTCTATCCCATCGTGGTTGGGTAGCCCTGGATGGCCTTGATGTTCTGCCCGAGCAAGGTTTCGCTCAGTTCGAACTGTTCACTGGCCGACGCGCTCCCCGGCGCGTAATGCGGAGCATTGTGCTTCAAGAGTACAAAGATGATGAAGGAAATAATGATCACGAAGCGATACAAGATAGGCTACAGCAAATGGATGGACAACCAACTTGAATATCGCCACCTGCTCTCGTGAATGATCCTGCATCGAGTGGTGACATTGCCTAGTGACACTACGGCCGTCGACCAACCTGCGGCGGCCAAGGTGCCTGCCGACCAACCCATCGACCCCTCTATGCCAGTCAACTGGCCCCCTTATACTACCACGCCTGAGAATTTGCCATAGCATCGGTGGTCAGTTTGTTAGGGTGGCGGAGGTGATGCCCACGTAGACGGATACGATCTAGGGCCGAGCGCGGGGTGAATTTGTAGATTTCCGGCTTGTTTTCCAAGCGGGAACGGAGGCCAGCGGCGGCCAGCGGCCATACTATCATGATCGGTGCGGTCGTCGGCCATGCCATTGGCGGGGCGTAGAATTCCCTGGGCTAGGGGATTGTCCAAGATCTTCAGCCCTTCTTTGGAGTTAGCCCTGTGGAAGATTCGGTCGATCTTTTCGCATTCACTGATAATGTCGGGATTGGACTATCCGACGGAGGTTTTTCACAACGTCCATTTTACCCTGGTCTTGTTTGAAGCGGCTGCGTCGGTGGTCGGAGACTGAATGTGGGACAGAAGCCTGCCGTTTGGAAGGCGCGTTGGAACCTCTATGATATCGATTATTGCGTGCCTTTGCGACCATCGGAATCTGCATGGGTCGATGGTCCTTTATACTCTGACTGCCCTTCAGGTTTTAGTTAGGAGAACAATGCATCCTTCTTGTCAGCTTCCACAACAAAAAGGGTCTAGATTTCTTAGACAACACTCCAACCCAGCAAATCATTGCCGTCGCCAAGGAAGTCGCTGCTGTCATGGCATGTATGAAAGCTGCCAAAGCCAACGTCGGAAAGTTCGCGTTACAAGTGGTACTTGACAAAGCCCGTTTACCTGCACAGCACGACCCGCTGGTAGAGCTGCACAACCCTCGTGCTGAACAGTCACGTACGACCCGTGGACAGGCACGTAGCACGACTTGTAATCCTACGCTCCGCTTAGGCCGCTAGGTTCTAAGGTAGTCTGAATAGATTGGATTACTCATACGAGAGCTGCATTAAGGTCTGTTTGGACAATATCCATGAGAAGTATATGTGTATATGTGCAGTTCCAAGACCCCCAAATCTGAATACCACTCTACGAATTACTTGTACCATATAGAGCAGATATATTCGTAGCGATCCAACTTAGACAATAGTACATAGAACCATGAATTCTTCCATTGAAGGTATACAAATGATTCCAACGTAAAGTGGAGAAAACACCTCGATAACCACAACCTTGGGACCCCGAAACTCCCGAGGTCGGCTAGTGGCGGTTATTTTGAACCTCCAATTTTCACCGAATGACTCAAAAGGAACTAAACGGCCCCTTCAACATTGGGTTATTTCGTTATAACATATTTTGATACATCTCTTGTACCCACATATCCCCATTGACTCTTTCCACCATGACCGTCGGACCCTTCTCTCAAGATGAGCTGGATGAGATATACGCTTTCTCAATAAACCTGGGCCGTAAGGCAGGCAAGCTGCTCATGGAGCGTGTCGATCAGCGTATCTCAGGCGCAAATGGTTCCTCCAACGCCTTCGAGGAGAAAGAAAATGCAGTAGACATTGTGACACAGACTGACGAAGGTAAGGCAGCGCAGCTGATAATGATAAGACATATCAGACATTGTTGCTAACAGTTTTACTTGGCAGACGTCGAAGTATTCATTCGGAGCGCCCTCGAGACAAGATATCCGTCTCACAAGTTAGTCTTTTTACTACAATGCACTCACCCTCACTGGCGAGAAAACTGACAGACCCCTAGATTCCTCGGCGAGGAGGCATATGCCAAAGGCCAGTCGCGCGACTACCTCATTGACGAGCAACCAACATGGTGCATTGATCCATTAGATGGTAAATCAACACTTCCGGTACCATGACCAGTTGGACTGTTCACGGTTCCAAACTGGCATCGCAAGAAACCCAACTAATACCCCTACCCCCCAGGAACCGTAAATTACACGCATATTTTCCCTATGTTTTGTGTCTCAGTCGGCTTCATCGTGGAACACAAGCCAATCATTGGTGTAATCTATGCCCCCTTCACAGATCAGCTTTGGTCTTCCTGCAGCGGGCGTGGGGCCTGGCTCAACGAGACTCGCCGCCTTCCACTCATCCACAACCCAACCCCGCCTATGCCCACCAATGCCCCTTCACAATGTATCTTTTCTTGCGAATGGGGTAAAGATCGTCGCGATATTCCAGATGGCAATATGCAGCGCAAGATTGAGAGTTTTGTTAATATGGCCGCGGAGGTGGGTAGTCGGAATGGGAGAGGTGGTATGGTGCACGGTGTGCGCAGTTTGGGAAGTGCGACGCTTGATCTCGCGTATGTTGCTATGGGATCTTTTGATATTTGGTGGGAGGGAGGCTGTTGGGAGTGGTGAGTTTCGCCTTCTTTTCTTTTCTTTTCTTTTCCCTGTCTTTTCTATCCCTTGGAGAGTGAGTATCCTGATGCTGACTATTATAGGGATATCGCTGCTGGTGCCGCTATTCTGTTGGAGGCTGGTGGACTTATGACTACTGCTAACCCCCCAGAGGATGTGGATACGGCGCCAATCGAGGATGTCCGACTCGGCAGCAGATTGTATTTAGCTATTAGGTGAGTGAAATGTTCCCCTTATGTTGGATTCTGCTAATCAATGGCATTTCAGACCCGCTGGCCCGTCTGCCACCGAGACAGGCCGTGAAACACAGGAACGGACCGTACGCGAAGTCTGGCGCCGAGTCCGTAACCTGGAATACTCACGCCCTGGAGCTTGAATAGCTCCGCGGCGTTTTCATTTTGTCTATATTGTGATGCCTCATATTTACATATTGACCTTATGGTAGATCTAGAGCGAAACGTATGTCAAAATCAAAGACGCCATCCATTTATATATAGACAATGCAACAACTAGCGACTATTTTGCGCTCTATACAATGATTAAAACAAAATCGAAACATGATCGTAAAAAAGAAATCACAGGCTAGACTTCGCAGATCCCCGTTCCGCAATGGTCTTAGCAACAAGATCCTTAACCTCCTGCACAAGACCAGGGGTGCCGATAACATCCTTTCCAGTCCAAAGACGGGCCTGCTCCAGACCTTGCCAGATCAGAGCCTCAGAGCCGAGGATAACCTTCCACCCGCCGGCAGAAGCCAAGTGAGCGATCTCAGTCCAGGGCGTGGGGTGGTAGCACATCTCCAGAATGACACCCTGCTGCTTCTCCGCATCGGCAGCAGTACCCAAGAAAGCCTCGATAATAGCGCGAGCGCGCAGTTCTTCAGGTGATTTCGGGGGGTAGTTGGGGATACCGGAGACGATAGCGGCGGGGGACTCGAGACGGGCAGCCTCAGCAGGGTCGGTAACTGGAATAAGAGGAGCCTGGGCATTGGGGTCAGGATTGCGGCGACGGTCTTCTTCGAGGATGGCGGCGACTTCAGCGGCGTCGCGGTTGACGACGTAGATGCGGCTGGAACCGAGCCAGCGGCGCATAACGTAGATGGCAGTGCGGGCAGTGCCGCCACCACCGATGATGAGCGCGGGCCGGCCGCGGAAGCGTGATGGGTCAGGCGCATTCTTGGTGAGGGCTTCCCGGATGCCGTCGCAGTCGGTGTTGGTGCCGACGTACTGGCGCTGACCGGTTGTTGGGTCGTCGCGCAGGAAGATGGTGTTGCAGGCGCCGGCTTGGCGGGCGTGCTCGGTGAGATCGTCGAGGTATGGCATGATCGCGACCTTGTGAGGCATCGTCACGGACGAGCCGACGAACTTGGGATTGGACTTGATCGATGCCAGGTATTTCTCAATCGGTGGCGACCGTGTGTAGGGAGGAGGGTATGTCTCTGATGAGCCGGACACACTGGATAGGGGGATTTGGGTCCAGTTGAGACCGAGCGCATTGTAGACTGTCTGGTGTAGGGGTGGGGAAAGAGAGTTCAGAAGAGGGTGACCGTACAGATAGGCGACGCCATCGCGGTTGGAGGGGATGGCCATGGGCTCTTCTGGTGGTGTTTGGTTGATTTCTGTGACGGACATGATGAATTGTGTATAATTATCTGCTTGGATATGCAGATCTTAGAGAGGGAGGTGCTACAATGTTATAAGACGAACTTCGAAATTCAGACGGAAAATACTTAGCCTCACTATGCGTGCGAGGTACGATGGATATTCCATCTGCCGGGTGGGGCTTTCCTTTTTCAGGTTAGCTGCTGCCGCTTTTACAAAAGTCAGACTTCAATATATTTTAGCCCGGTGAACCGAGGTAAAGCAGATAGTTTGGGCTGCATCCATTCCGAATTTGATTACGAAAACATCATAGAAACTCGCAATTGCTTGGCCACCTTAGTCGCGACGTGTTCGCCATTGGCAGCGTCATCATGAAATCGAGCCATCTCTGTACACAAGAGAGTGCAGAGTATGCGGAGTTCGGCTACTCGTCTGCAGATGCTAATGAAGTACAAGCTATTGCTATTGCGAAGAACGTCCTAAAAATGTCAAAGTACCCGACATTTACTTTAATGGCAAGGTACTTGTTCTCATCTCGCAAATTAGTCTTTTATTTATCACTTACATCCCATTAGATCAATAGTGTACAACCCCTGGAAGCTGATATTCTCTTCTCGGACACCAATATCGACCCAGACATAAGCCTCATACACAACAGATTTACTGAGCTTAACAGTATAGTTGAAAATGACAAGATCGCGGGGCTTATTCATTGGGAAATGGCTGGCTTATTTGGCTGGAACGCTGCTAGACAAGTTCATTGCACGGCTAGACCACATGACTTTCCGTTTTGGAATGATCCGTATGACCAATATTCCCCGAATCCTTGAGGGATAATTGATGTGTACTTCGGGATATGTTAATACTGAAGGAGGCTAGGAAGGCTTGGTCAACTAGAAGTTGAGTATTAGCCTCATCCGATGAACATCGAGGTAGTAAGGAAAAGTAACTGTGACTTTTCAAATGTAGATAAAACGGGGAGATAAAACAAATTAAATTAACTAAATATGGTTTCCTATACATGTGCCTCTTACGGGATTATCAGCTTCAATTGTTATGTGCATGAAGTTAGTCCATTATGAAGGATAGGTCTAGAACTTGCATGAACTCCAAAATGATGCTCTATCTCATGATACCTGAAGGGCTTATGTATTATTGAATTCTTTATACGGTGGATGTTAAACGGAGTGGGTTAGGGAGGATAGGGCTGTGCTCAGCTTTACTTAGTGAGCTAGAGGCGACAATAGGTGGGCATTAAAAAGAACGGGGAAAGCTAGTATGTACGATGTAGGCCTAGTGGGATCTGTGAAAAAGCGATGAGCCGCCGAGTTGAGAAATACTATTCTGTTCTTCTACCCATCCCATTCCCTTCAGCCAATGTCATTGCCTACCTTGATAGTGAAATTTGTTGATTTAGCAAATACAATCCATAAGACGATCATTGGCTTAGCCGCAAATTCGATGCTTCATTGTCGACTCTGGGCCACTAAAGAACATCTGCCGGGCTGAATGATTTCCCACTACAACCACCCATACCCCATGGGGAACCTCTCACGACACACAGGAAACTCTACAAAAGCCAATAAATAGACTACGGCTATTATGAATGACGACCGGAGAACAGATAAATTCGCCGGCAGGGAGTGGCCAACGGAGACTTCACAGAGGCCACGCTTCTCCCTAAGCCCCCGGGAAAAGGCTTTTCCCCGCCACCCATGCACAACAATCTATCATTGGCCGTTCTCCCCCTCCCCTTATTCATGGCTCCATTTCAATTGATCCAATCAGACCAATTGCCATTCGCTATTTCACACCAAGGTCTGGATCGTGCACTGCATTGCCTCTGGGGTACCCCAGAAAAATTGGGCTGACAATGCACGTTGTCGCGGGTTACTGGAAACCCGCCGGGGAAGTCTCCACTTCTCCAAGCGGCATCGGATCCCCACAATCCAATGCCTTTAAGCGAATAATCTCAGCTTGACAGACTTGGCTGCCCAGCAGAGTTTGCATATCCCACTGAGTCAATTTCATTCTTGGGGGCAAGCCACATAAGAGGTGCCAAGAGGCAAAGGCGATTGTCCTTCGTACAGAAGAACTTAGAGTATTCGTTTTGCCGCGCCTTGGCTTTCCTTCATTTTTGTAGGGCATTTGACTGTCTGTGCTATACCTTTCTCCGACTCCGCATCCCCACGATTTCTTCCCCTTTTCCAAACCCCGGATTCTCTCCTCTCTTTATCCAAGGGCAAATCGACAGTCCGGGGCTCAATCCTATTTAGATCTTCACTACCTCCCTAGTCTGTTCTAGAAAAACGTGGCGAGGACTTTCTTTTTGGTTTCCTCTTACCTTTCTTCCCTTGCACCTGCACCTGTATCTCATACATACCTTTATACAAGGTGATCGTCCTTCCTCGGACGTATATCTTACTTCTCTGCATCTAGCATTGGGGATCAAGATCATCTGGTCACAGAGTCTTGCAATTCTTCTTCTATAACAAACCGCCACCATGTCTATCCTGAAGCTGGTCGAGGACCGGCCGACGCCTAGCGTGGTCTACAACTGGAGAATCTATCTCCTGGCAGCGGTGGCTTCATGCACATCCTGCATGATTGGCTATGACAGTGCTTTCATCGGCACTACGCTCTCTCTTGACTCCTTCAAAAGCGAGTTCCACTTCGACAACATGCCTGATCCTACCAAGAACCTGATCAGCGCCAACATCGTCTCCTGCTACCAGGCTGGTGCCTTCTTCGGTGCCTTTTTCGCGTATCCAATCGGCCACTTCTGGGGTCGTAGGATTGGCCTGTTGGCCGCTGGTTTGGTTTTCACTCTTGGTGCTGGTCTCATGCTTGGTGCTAATGGCGACCGAGGACTCGGCCTCCTTTACGGTGGCCGAGTTCTCGCTGGTATTGGTGTCGGAGCAGGCTCTAACATCACCCCGATCTACATCTCCGAATTATCTCCTCCGGCTATTCGTGGTAGATTGGTTGGTGTGTATGAGCTGGGCTGGCAAATTGGCGGTCTTGTGGGATTCTGGATCAACGTGGGTTTTCCTTTCGGTTGTTCTTGACTTGTCTTGTCTGTGGATGCTAACACAATATCAATAGTTCGGTGTCGACGAGACCATGGAACCGAGCCACAAACAATGGCTCATTCCTTTTGCTGTTCAGTTAATTCCTTCTGGTCTTTTGCTCATTGGTGGCTACTTCATCCGGGAATCGCCTCGTTGGCTCTTTGGACGCGGTCGCCGCGAGGAGGCAATCAAGAATCTTTGCTGGATCCGCCAGTTGCCCGAGGACGATATCTATATGATCGAGGAGATTGGTGCTATTGACCAAGCTCTGGAGGAGCAGCGCCGTAGTATTGGCATTGGTTTCTGGAAACCCTTCAAAGCTGCCGGAACCAACAAGAAGGTCATGTGGCGTCTGTTCCTCGGAAGCGCGCTGTTCTTCTGGCAGAACGGATCTGGAATCAATGCCATCAACTATTACAGTCCGACTGTCTTCAAATCGGTAAGTCGCATCTTGTTGCGATACCATCCGTGGATGTGAGCATCGATGATTGATGCTAACAATTCTTCTAGATTGGTGTTAAGGGTACCAATACTAGTCTGTTCACCACTGGAATCTTCGGTGTAGTGAAGACCGTGGTGACTTTCATTTGGCTGCTCTGGCTGATTGATCACGTTGGTCGCCGTAACCTGTTGTTGATCGGTGCAGCGGGTGGTTCCGTCTGCCTGTGGATTGTCGGCGCGTACATCAAGATCGCCGAACCCGAAAAGAACAATAGTGACTCCTTGAGCGGCGGTGGTATCGCAGCCATGTTCTTCTTCTACCTGTGGACGGTCTTCTATACCCCAACTTGGAACGGTACCCCATGGGTTCTCAACTCGGTAAGCATTCCCAAATTGCAACCCCATACATTGGAACATTGCTCCAGTGCCTAGTCATGGATTGACCCTTGAAACAATGCTAACAGCGTCTGCAGGAAATGTTCGACCCCAACATGCGTTCCTTGGCACAGGCCTGCGCTGCCGCCTCCAACTGGCTCTGGAACTTCCTCATCTCGCGCTTCACTCCGCAGATGTTCACAGCCATGGGGTACGGTGTATACTTCTTCTTCGCATCACTGATGATATGCTCCATCGTCTTTGTGTATTTCCTCGTCCCCGAAACCAAAGGTGTTCCTCTTGAGAGCATGGATCAGCTATTCGACATCAAGCCCGTGTGGCGTGCCCATGGGCAGATGGTCGCCCAGCTTCGTGAGGATGAAGAGAGGTTCCGCAACGACGTCGAGGCTGCCGGCATTGACATGGGCAAGGTGCGCCATGAGCAAGTCGAGGATACTGCGGCTCAGCCAAAGTACACTTAAACAATGCGGTGGCGAATCCTTTCCGTGTTGGTGTCTTTTGTGTCATGGCCGTACAACTTGTTGTGATTTATTGTCGGATGAAGCGCTGAAGCGCCGACTCATTGGAATTAGTTCGGGTTGCACATCTGATGATCTTTGTGTACTAGGGCTGTCTGGTTTATGTACACTTCGCTGAACGAGTGTAAAGAAGCAAATGACCCAATGAATATACCCCTTTGTGTCTTTTTCATCAGTGGTTTTCGATATATCGCAAGAAGATCAAATAGACGGTCCCGCTTCATATATCACTATATCCAGTAAAATCATATCAGTGTGTAGCTAGTTATTAGGCTTTGCCAACAAGTCAAACATCGACATCCACAGGCTGACCTGACCGCATAGCCCTCTGAACAGCCTCACAAACAATCAAGGCACGCAAACCTTCCTCACCAGTACAGCTAGGAACAGCGTCCCCATTGATAACATCAACAAAATGCGCAAGCTGAAGATCAAAAGGCGCCTTATCATCTGGAAGCGGAATCCGCTCAACAGTCAATGGTGAGTTCCAGCTCTTCTCAGGGCTAGCATCATAACTCCAGCGGGTCAGGTCCGGCACACTAAGTGAAGCATCCGAGCCAAAGATGCGATAGAAGTCCGAGTCACCACCGGTTGCTGACCGTGGGATGAGTGGGTTCTCGCCCGTGCCAGTCTCGAAGTTATGCGGCGACGGCGTCACATCACAGACTAGAAACGTGCCCACAACACCCGATGCAAAGCGTAGCGTTAAGGCAGCGCCTTCGTCGGCATTGTGTGGTGGGCTTGGGCGCTGCGGCATCGTAGGCTCTGCTGTCACGCGAACAATAGGCCCGAAGAAGTGGTGCATGAGGTCGATGTCGTGGACGAGGTTAATGGGGATGACGCCGCCTCCGCGCTCGTTTGATGCGCGCCAGTCTGTTGGACAGGCAAAGTATGCATCCGGCTTAAACAAGGTCCACAGACCGTTGATAGCAATAGGGCGACCGAGAGATCCAGCGTCCAGAACGGCCTTCGTGGCTCGCACGTAGGAGTTGAAGCGGCGGTGGTGGCCGACTAGGAGCATCAGGTGGGCTCGCTCTGGAGCCTGGGCGAACTCCAGTAGGGAGCGGCCGGTTTCCAGAGTATCGCTCACGGGCTTTTCGAGGAGGACGTGGACGCCGCCTGCAAGGAGCTCCTTTGCGACTGGGACGTGCGTGTGGTTTGGTGTGCAGACGATTGCCGCATCGGGCCGGTGGGGGGATGCAAGTAGTGAGGCGACGGAGACGTAGTAGTTGGTTTTGAGGCTGGATGCGGTTGCTTCGCCAGTCGGCATTGGGTCAACGAGAGCAATTAGCTCTGTTGAGGGATTTGATATTACGGATTGTGCGTGACGAGGGCCAATGAGGCCTGCGCCAATAATGGCAACTTTGACGGACATAGTGATTTGATGGTCCAGGTCAAAAACAAATTTTGGTTCTGAAAGAATTGAATTAACTCAATGATGTTGTAACTTGCACAGCTCAAGCAGAGAATTCAATCTGGTGGCTTTTGTATGCCTGTTAGTTGCGGAAAGTGTGTCATTGCCCTGGACTTTGAGCAACATTTACGATTCGGCGCCGATTCTCCGGACATGTTTGGACCGATACGGAAAAGATATTGCCGGGTACCTACGGCTATTTTGTTTCCAGGGACGGGGAAAGCATTTCTAATGAGGAAGCAAAACTCCGCGATGTGGGTGGAACTGTGGAGTGGCCGTGGAGAGCAAGTGGAACTGGCGGAAGAACGAAAAAGGGGTTGCGTTTACCCGGCCATGTGATTTGCCTCTATCAGGTTCGGCCTCGTCATCAAGACACGAATCACAGCAGACCAGGGAAAACGTTCAGTCATGGAGGGCACTGCAGGGGATAACGTTTTGTCGCAATCGTTTTACTACCTTCCCTTTTGAGAACCTAGAAAACCCCTAATATCGTTGGTCGTCCACCTTGAAGGCATGCTCGCACCCTGAATATCACTCCATCTGGAAACTTAAATTTTTAAAAAAAGAAAGCCTGCAACCAAACGACTTCTTCATTTTATAATATCGGCATAGAAAAGAAGACCTCATCCACATAACTTCAAAATGGCTTTCAACCGCCCCGGCATCGCTTCGATGTCCCTAGGCCGGCCCTGGGTACACGACCTACCCGGCAAGTTGATGCAAGCCGCAGACCACGGCTTCCAGGGTATTGAACTCTTCTTCGACGATCTAGACTGCTACGCGCAGCGGGTATTTGGCGGTAATCACCACGAAGCTGCACGGTCAACACGTCTGATGTGCAAGCGCCTGGGCCTGACCATTATCTGTCTGCAGCCATTCTCCATGTATGAGGGCCTCATCGACCGCACCGAGTCAGACCGGCTCATCAATGAGAAACTTCCCAAATGGTTCACCCTGGCGCGGGCGCTGGGCACAGATATGATCCAGGTTCCGTCAAACTTCCTAGGCCCAGACCCAAAGACCGGTGCTGCCCGCACTACTGGCGACCGGACTGTTATTGTTCGTGATCTCCAGCGCCTGGCTGACTTGGGCGCGGGCGCTGGATTCCGGTTTGTTTACGAGGCTCTCTGCTGGGGCGATCATATTGATACCTGGGAGGCCTCGTGGGAGGTGGTTCGCGAAGTCGACCGTCGCAACTTTGGTCTCTGTCTTGATTCCTTCAATATCGCCGGTCGTGTATATGCCGACCCTGCTGCTCCTTCAGGTCGCACACCTAATGCGGCTGCGGATTTGGCCGCTTCGTTGGAGCGTTTACGAACTGCCAACATTGATCCCGCCAAAATTTTCTATGTCCAGCTTGTTGACGGTGAGCGTCTTTCCGCTCCGTTGGATGAGAAGCATCCTTTCCATGTTGCCGGGCAGCCTGTCCGCATGAACTGGTCCCGCAATGCACGACTATTTCCCCTTGAGGAGTCGCGTGGTGGTTATCTGCCCATTATAGATATCGCTCGCGTCTTCTTCGAAGATCTCGGATTCCGCGGCTGGGTTTCCCTTGAACTCTTCAGCCGAACCCTCGGCGAGACCGATCCATTTGTTCCCGCCGATCACGCTCGCCGTGGTATCGACTCATATAACAAAATGGCTCGTATCTTGCGCTGGGATGAGCCTACTGATAACGTCTCAGTGCCAATGCCGGTGCCTGACTCACCTGTTCAACACCGCCTCTAGGTGGTCGATCTTGACTTTGCCTTTTTTTTTTTTTTTGTATAGCATATGGTATCTGTACATACATCTCTTAACGACCTTTGACGATTTTTATTGTTTGACATACCGTGGGTATACTCGATTGACAGGGCAAGCATTTTCAAGGGTTGACTAGGCTCGATCACCTGTATGCTTTACCAGGTACCAAACATTCTACAATGAACCACAATTCAAATAAGGCCGAGCTTGTACTGTAAGAAAGTGGCAAAGTGAGCAATATGGCAGTGAATGTAGCTGATAATGTCATGATTGTCTAGTCTGCTCCATTAGATTGCTTATTTAGGCGCTCTTGTTGTTGATCTTGAGGAGCTCGACCTCGCTGCAAAACAGTCAGTTTCTCGGTACTATTCTTTAGTTGCAGAGACTTACAAGATCAGAGTAGAGCCTGCAGGAATCTTGCCAGCCGCCCTTTGTAGAAGAATGTTAGAATACTCTCAGATGATGGATGTCACGGCGTATGTAGGAATCGCCTGTATGTATAGTGTGTTCACTTACTTGTCACCGTAGCCGTAGTCCCTGAGAAATAATGTTAGTAGTGGTCCAATTTCCTCTTGTTCCATATGGACTTTACTCACGGTGAGATAGTCAAGGTTGCCTTCTCTCCCAGGGTCATCTGCAGAACACCCTCATCCCAACCTAATCAGACAGATAGCATTAGCACTCAATTTAATAAAACAAGGGATTCAATGATTGCAGGTATAAATCATTCCACCAAGGTAAGAAAATAAAAGGATAGGATACCCTTGATGACCTGCCCAACACCAATCTGAACATTGAAAACGCCACGTCCAGGAGTTCTGGAACTATCGAATCTGTGGGCGTAGATAATCAGTATTTAGAATACTCAAGTCATAAGCTAAATGGCTCTATGATATGGTAGTCAGCTTACTGCTTGCCCTGGAAGCCCTTGTTGGCCTTCTTAGCATCGTAGATCCATCCCGTGTAGTGGATAGAGACCTTGTCGCCCGCAGCAGGCGAGTCAGAGCCGTTACCACGAGTAATAATCTTTCTCTCAACACCCATATTGAATTCTGGCTTTGTAATAAACGTTAAGGCGAAAAAAGTAAGAGAGATGAAAGAAGAGGTGAGGATCGAGGGGCAACGCTGATTCGTAATTTTCTAAAAGTGGGGGGGAAAGCGGGAGCGGCGAATGACCTCCGATGTGATGTACAATGCTGGGATTTCGAGTGAACATCTCGCATTTTACTAGGTATTCCGAAGACACGTTCATGGATTGCAGCATAAGTTATTTGCCCTTAGTGATTCCAATTGGTTGGATTCAATATTCCCTCCGCCTCCTCTCGAGAGCCTTCGCCTAGACTTGAGCACTGTTTGAAATAGCATGCAAAAGTATCCCCAAGAGACTAGAAAAGGCACACCCATGCTCAGCAGTCCAGTCTGTAGCTTGACTTGGACAAACATGGCGCCAAGTATGGATGCCTGCGTGCAAGAATCGATTATCGATTCATCCGCACATTATGACCTTCGATTTCGAAACACATCGCTCCTCGACGCTCCTTTTGATGGCTAGCCTGTTTTTTCGTCAATCTCCGGCTCGTTAATCTTTTTGTGCATTTCAGCGTTATCGGGGGAAACAAAACGCTGGTCCTCAGTGAATTTCCTCCAGTTTTCACATGTTGAAAAATGTATGCGAACCTGGGCAAAAGCCTGTTTCAAAATTTAACCATTGGGGCTCTTTTCATATTCGACACCCACCCATTCCCGAACAGGCCTACACCCAGATGGAAAATGGCAGCGGGCGGCAAAGACATCTTCTTGGAATAGAGCTAGCATTATCCAAATAACGCAGGTTACGAGCACTATTTCTCTGTGAAAGCGACTCGGCTGCTCCTGAATAAGATCACCCTGAAGGCAGGTAATCGCCTTAGCAGAATGGGTAAGAGCCAACAGGCTTCCTCGATCATCAATTTGTTTGGTTTCAACCTCTTCAAATCGACGATGCAGAGCACCTATTGGTATTAGCGCATGACGGACTGTAGGATGGTCTTCGCACATCTGATGCACGAACTTACCCTAGAATGGATCTTCGAAGTAACGCATGAATTGGGCTGCCGTACTTTTGCGGAAGTAATCCAGGTGCCAGCGCTCTGTCCAGTTGAGATGAGCCTGATTTGGGTCGACCAGACGAACCATAGCATTCCCAGAAGGGCTGTGTGGGGCTTTATATTGTTTATGCCCAGACATTGCAGTCTGATCGCCTGAATGGGGCTTCTCGGCTTTACGCCAGGCACGGGTCCTCTGATCGGGCATCTGCGCATAGCCATGCCTTTTTTTTTACCGGTGTTCGTGCAATTTCGACATGCTGGGAGAGACTCATCGCACCTTTTATGACTAATTCTATATTGTAAACCCATCAGTAACCCACCAGTACATGATTGTGGATCATCGGGGCTGGGACTGCTTATTTTCTAAATGTTTTGATCTTGATTTTCCCTGTTCGGGCATGACTTTTACGGATGTCAATTAACGGCTGGATTTGGAGGGTCCAAAATGCCTAGAACATAAAAGAAGAAGTCATGGGCTGCCGCGTATAAAACCCCACTCTTGGCGCCGATCCGTCCAATCTAGTATGTGGTCAACGTATGGACATCAATTGTCGACGAATTTGTGTATTAACATTGAATGTTATTATTCATTTTTTGAATAGATGTTCGATGATATTGCCGGCTTTGTATACTAAGTATGTGAACTGTGTGTATGGTCTATCATTGGACGTAGGGGTCCCCACCTCCCAGATCTATGGACGGAGTACCAGATAGATTGATAATTGTAAGTGGACCGAGTGTATCATTGGCCACTACGGAGTATGAAATACACACCGATATTGTCTATCATGTACAACACATTTCATTTGCGAGGCCGTTGTTTTACGCGTCCAGATCGAAATGTGTCTTTTTTGTTGGCAGGGATTGGATAGTATACCGCAACCTCAAGTAATAAATAGATCTGACACACACCGAGACAAATCGTGAGCTACTAATAGATAAATGTGTAGAGCCCCGGCTTAGAAGTGCTCCGTACATAGTATCGTGAAAGGAAACGGTAGAACAACCTTGACAATAAGTCACCTTCGGGCAGCCAAAAAAGTCTAAATATCCAACATTCGGCAAGTCCAGTCAAAGAAGAGCTGTTATGCGCGAGCCACTCCTCAAGCCACTCCCCTTGAATTTGATGGACTCACACGTGACATGACAAGCCGTTTCACAATTTCCAAACAGCGCGGGCGGCCTGAGCTGAGATATGAAGGAACAGGGGTAACGTAGGCACTGCCACTAAGACTGTGTCTTTTGCAATTCATCCTGGGGATATTATTAACCCCTTTACGGTGTACTCCGTACGGAGTACTCCATAGACTTGTATGAAATTGACTTAAGCCACACTCCAGATTATTTGTGAAACCATGCTGCACAGGGCTGAAAATGAAGGACCACAGTCCGGGAATAGTGTGTATGAGAAGTGTGGGAGAAGTGTTTGAGACTAAGGAGCCGTACCGTGGTCAAAACAATGGGGCTATGGAGTGATCCTTAGTGCATACTCCGTAGCGCAAGTGGAATGCCCAGATGGGAAGCTGAGGAGGAGCTGAAAGATTGCTTGGGCCTCTTTTCTCAGACGGTGGCCGTTTTGATTGGGTCGAGATTGTTGGGAGATAATAATATGTGAGACTATTCACTACCGACTTAGTATAATTTTGATGGAGATTAAAGTAGATTGGACCAAATTCAGGGGCATCAGGAACCTCATTGGTCATTGTATGGGAAAATGAAGGTCCGCACTTTCTGGGCGCGCGTCAAAGATACTGTATAAGTAAGGTAGACGAGAATAGGTTGGGCATTTACCTACAATATATGTACTCCGTAGGCAGAAGGGAAAAAAAGGATTGGTAAAGTAATTAAATCAGATCAATGATATTCGTAAGTTACGTGGGGAAACCCATTTGGTGGCAGAAAGCCAAAAGTTCTTCTGGTCTCTCCTTTCTCATCCCTCCCCCCTAATCGAACTCTCATGTTTCATTACTTTTTCTTTTCATTTTCTTTGTAATTATCGTCTCTACTCCTGGATTCCATTTCCTTTCGCCTCGGGCCTTCCTCCCTCTATCAAATCTCGAAATCGAGCGCCCGCGAGGGGCACTCTCCGTTTCGCTTCGCCTGTTGCGCTTAACGATCATAACACCCGCGATTATCTACCTGAAACACATCGGTAGCACGGCTAGTAGTGCCTGGTACGTCGGAATATTGATATTCTTGATCCCTGGTTCATAGGCAAATAATTGCCGTCCCTATCATCCTGGTCCAACCCGCCCCATACGTGGTCAAGCCTGTTGTCTCGGTTCAGGATTGATTTGGGAGGACTGGTGTCTTACACTTAAAACCGGTGTTGGATCACGTTTTTTTAACTCCTCGATAGTCTGCAGGTTCAGCTACCATTCGCCGTTCTTTCAACCCCCTGTTGTACCTCTCCCCTCCAAACTCGCACCGACGTCCCTGTCTCCCCAATTCCAGCTTCCAACGCAGGTTACGCTTGGCAAGGACTATATTAAAGGAGCCAACACCAACGGCGCATGTGACTAGCGATAACGAATCGCTCGTATACACAATTTTGGACTTAGTCTGCCTCCGCCAGGCTTATATTCGCATCGATATATACGGCCATAGTCGACCTTGCATTTCGCGCCTTAGACAGTGGATCTCACCATGGAGAATCAGGGCGCTTACCCAGAGTATCCTATGGAGCAGGATGAGTCCTACCCGTGCAAGGGCTGTGGAGAGGTAGGTACAATGTGGAGCAGGTGGACAAGAACTTGACTAACCGTCCTGGCAGACTCTTGAAGAAGGGAAAGCGTTTGAGCTTGGTATGTTCGATACCTGCGGTCTTTTTTCACCATTTTCTTATGTCGCTAACCTTTGGCAGCTGGAAACCGATGGCACATCGACTGTTTCCGATGCAGTACATGCAGTACTCTGCTCGACTCGGACGCGCACCTCCTCCTTTTGGGTGATGGATCACTTATATGCAGTAACTGCACATACAGTTGTAGCTCCTGCAACAACAAGATCGAGGACTTGGCCATTTTGACGGGAGACCAGGCTTTCTGCGCTCAATGCTTCCGATGCCGGAACTGCAAACGAAAGATTGAGAACTTGCGCTATGCGCGCACTTCGCAGGGTATTTTCTGCATGGAATGTCACGAATCGCTAATGGCACGAAGAAGAAAACGGAAAGCCGGCGGCAGTAGTGGGAAGAAACCAGCGGGGCCTAATGTGAAGCTGGACAAGTCATTGCCCTCGTTGCCTCCTCACCTCCTCGAAGAAGCGCAATTAATGGAGGAGGAGAACAGCGAATATACAGGCACACCTGACCCCAATAGAATGGCGGAAACGCCCGATCTAAACGATGAAAGACCGGGAAGCTCAGTTTCTAATCAGCAGGCTGATTCAGGTAAGAAACTCTTTTTGCAGCCTAGATGTATAATCATCGCAGTCTAAACCTTGTCTATTGTCGCATTGTGGTCACATTGTGTGATCTATACGCCGCTCTCTATTCTCCATGACTTATTGTCGTTACCGGCTGGACTTGTTGTGATCGCATGATCTATGAGAAGATAAACACGACCTTTTGGAAATCTTACTAACTTATTCATACAGATAATATGCTTCTTCCTTCCAGCACATACCGCAGCAGTCGTCAATCAATTCCACGCAATACTGACGCAGATGGTGGTGAATTATTGATTCCTCTTGCCTTTGATCCTTCGGCTGAGGGTAATTCCTCCCGAGGTCACTCCCAGACACGGCAGGAGCCTGCCCGCGACTACTTCAATCAAGTTGAATCCGAATGCTCACACGGGGCCTCACGCGACGGCCGTGAATTTCTGCAAGAACCCTCTTCTCGAACTTCCTTGGAAAATCATTCACCCCATATAGCCTACGAAGAGAAGGGTTGGGAACGAAACGACCCCAATTCACCCGATAAAGCGCCATTACCAATCTCCGATTCCTCCAAGCTTACAAAGGCAGGCTCGACTCGCAGCTCATCTGATATACCGATCAGCTTCAGAGAAACAGGCAACCTTTCAGGGCCTACCAGCCCTGATAGCAGCAGATCGAAGGAATTCTCCAATGACACAAAACGACACATTCCTATGGATAACATTACTTCGGCTGTAGGTCGTTCCTCGAGTGAGCTTCATCGTCTTCACGACCACGGCTCAACGGACTCACCGCGCTCTCAACAATCCGGCTTGCCATATTTGCCGAAGCGCGGCGATTCACTTGAAAGCAAGCGTCACCAAATTTCAAGGAAAGAGGTCGGATCATCGTCTGCATCATCGCAGTACGGGGACTCTCCCATGCTCCGTAGTGATACTTTCGAGCAGCCTATTCAATCTACTGGCTTGGACACATCACCACATGAATCGCAACAACATGATGGCGCCGGCGCGTCATCCTTGCTACGGTACAATAGCGGAGGCGACTTCTCTATGGAGGAAGAGTTATCACGCATCATTGGTGGCGATGACACCGTTGGGCAAAATAACGAGTCATTCCTGCGACGCGTCTCGAACTCTGTCCGCCATGGTCGAAGCTTCAGTGAGAAGAGTGCGCGGATGAGTAAAGATCTCAAGAACCCTCGATCACCTAGCAATCGAAGTATAGCCGGAACGGATGTTGGCAGCCCCATTGCCGGATCGCAGAGTGAAGAGATATTCTTGCTTCGCAACGAACTGCGCAAAGAACGCCTGCGAGTTTCAGAACTGGAATCAGCCGCTCGCACCGCAGCAGCCGTCAAGCAAGTTAATACCGAGCTTTCTGAGAAGCGATCTACCATGGTCGTCCTTGACGCTCAGCGCGAGATCGTTCTACGTGAGCTGACAGTTCTCACTGATCATATGGAGGCTGAAAAACGTGGTGGCGCAAGTGGGCCATTGGATCTTGGCAAACTCTCGAACCATGTGCTGCGCGAGCTGGCAGAGTCGATTCAAAAACTGAAAGACTCGTATGCCCCGCAAATTGAAGAGCTTATGCAGAAGCGCAATGACCTGACGGATGAACTGGAAGCCATGAACATTCAAAAGGAGAAGAGCTTCCAGGAATTCGAGCAATTGTCTATGAAGAACGCACAGCTTGCTGAGTTGAACAATCAGTTGGTTCACCAGATCCAAGAGCTCTACAAAGCTACGGAAGGTCAATCGCGACCTGACGGTCTAGGCATCTCGCATAACAAACAGAGGTCGACAAATTCCATTGAAGTGA